TGTCCAGGTACATTTTGGGGGTGTTGGTAATGTGAGGACGCACAAAATGACTGCGCCACAGACCAGCAAAAACCAGGTCTGTGGTCAACAGTCAAGTCATTGTTGCTAGTTAGCTGGCACATTGACTGTGTGTGATGCATGCCTGTCCAGGTGTGTGCACAGTGCTTGCTCACTGTGCTTGCTCACTGTGCTTGATATACCCTGGGACGCGCTGCGCAGGACATGCCAAATTTAAAAGAATAAAAAGATGACATTGTGTTTATTGGGTGTTGTGAAGTGGAAAATCTTACTGACGTCCAACCTGGCGAGTCTGCCAGTATTCTAGCAATCCGCCAAACCTCCAAACTCATGTCTCTTAAAGGGGGTGTGATACACACTGATTGGATAATTGCATGTTATGCACATAACACACCCCTGCTTTAATGAGGAGATCAAGTACAGCTTTTTTGCTGTTTGCATGGGCGCTTGAACCATTTTTTCTCATCATCAAATTATCGAAATGAACACGGACACATCCAAACACCACTTAGCCAATACATCTTGATACGCCATGGATCCTCAAAATAGGGCCCTCAGTCTTGTTCGAAATATTATGCAAATTGGCTTTAAGTGTGTTTTGTCTCATTGACTTAAAACATGAAACTCAAAAACACAATTGTAACTCATCATTTTAAGAAATGTTTTCTTTTGGCCTTTTTGGCCCTGATCTTTTGGCTCATAGCTTGTTGCAGAGCGAGGGAAAGTTAGAGAAAGACAAAGAAAGTTATAAAAGAAGGAGATATTGAATTAAGAATGGGAGTGAGCCAAGAGAGGGAGAATAAAAGAAAGCATGGTTATACAACTGAGAGCCTCAGAACAGTCTGCCTTCAGCAATGCTTCTTGAGCGCAGCTTCTAAGATAACAAGGCAGGAATTATCTCCCAGAGTGCTATTAATAGCACACAAGCCACATCTTGTCCTTCAGTGAGAGAGCATCCTGCACCCAGATGCTACACTTTCCCATTTTAACTCTTTTTGAAATGTTCATTTTGACAGACAGTTGCAAGCTGGGACAGCCTGCCAAGACTCAGTTATAATGCTCTCGTGCACTTGTGCTTCATTATCAGCAGTTGAGGTGTCCAGTTTTCATAAAATTGTAGATGTGGAAATTTTCAAATTCAAAGTCCTTTCTTATTCATAAAAACGGCAACTGAGAAAGAATCCTCACAGTAAGGTCCATTCAGTAACTGTTCTGGAGCTTTCAGTCATATCAACACTGAACTTTGAACCTCTGTGTGGGGGGTGGGGGTGGAGCACGGTTCAAATAACACTGTGGTCTGTGGATGTAGGGCTGTGCCCAGTCATTGAGAATCGCTGGTCTGACACCAAATCCAACAATAATAATTACTCACAAAAGAACACATGAAAGCAGCTCACCAGACATGATAAACAAGCAATAGCCTGCACGTGCTGATCAGTCAATTCACAGGCAGAGACAGTCAGACCCACTGACCACAGCAGAGCTGCAGGGATAGTTTTTATTTTAATCAGACTTTATGAACATTTTCTAATCATTTATATTAGAATTAGCAAAGTTATCAGTTTTTGAGACCCCTCCAAACTCAAGGGATTGGCACTAGGAAGCGCTGAAACAACACCCCACCACCACCACCATCATTGCAGCTCCATGCTTTTTTCACACAAGGCAAAATGTCTGAGTGAATTTGACCTTAGAAAGAAGTGGGTTAACAGACCCCTGCAGCTTGCTTCTTGTCTTTGCTTAAGGCTAGCAGCTCCAGGCAGCTCCATTACTACTAGCAGAACACACCCAAATTTCAGACTATTGGCAAGGGTCTGATTCTGCTGCATAGAGTTTGACCCTTTTTCCCTGCTCTGTCCTTCACGAGCCTTAAAAAGGTTTAGGATTGCAGGACTAAACTGGTGGCGGACTATTTCAAGCCAGCTTGTGCAAAGTCCTGTAAGTGTCTAGAAAAATGCTAATTACAACTTCACTTTACTTTTACTGGATGCAACAATATGTATTAATACATTTCTGTCAAGAAGCCTTGCCACCCTGGTTGTGCCTGATCTTGTTTGATCTGAAAAGCTCAAAAGATACCTTGGGCCTGGTCAGTGCTTGGAGACCACCTGACCTGGGAACAGCAGGTGCACTGACTACACCCAGCACAAGGGGCCTGAAATGCTCATGCACTCTATGTGCCAGTTGGGTTGTGTGCGGAAGGACCTCCTTTGTAAAACCTGTATAAATTACATATGCGGGTTGCAGTAATCCGCTGTGGTGACCCCCAAATGACGGGGAGCAGCTGAAAGAGGAGCAACAGCATTTCAGTCCTGAAAATGAGCCATTCTGCATAATAAGCATATTTCCTTTAAGTGTATTTTGATGCTGATACTTTTCTACTCTTACGAATTAGAATTTAAGCCCATAATTTTTAGTTGAAACAAAGCATTTTTATACTGTTTTATGGCTTCTTTTACTAAAGTAAAAAAGGTGAAGTACTTCTTCCACCACTAGTTTTGCGGCCTCCTCACCTGGCTCAGTGAAGGATTCTTCGTTCCAGGACTAACTCGCATTGCACTCAAGCAGCGATGCTGACCTGGCCATTATATCAGTGCCACATTAACCTACAGTAGTAGTCTTTGAGGGAGCAGGAAATTAGTGACTTAAATGTTGCTCTGCCTTCACACCAATCACTTTCACACTCCCAGTCATCCGTGGAGAGAGGTATGTACACAAGCAGCATGTTGCCCTTTGCATATGGCACATTTATTTAAGGAAACAGTAAGAACAGCAACACAATGTGCTCACTCTCCACACGCCTCCGAGTGACCACCCACCATATCCGCACGAGCAAAGAGGTGCACCACACAGTGGACCTGCAGGCTGTTTCTTTTAGAACTGTCTCCCAGAGATGTCCTCTGCTATTTAATGCTCCACACACATGCACAATTGAATTTGACAGTGGATATTTTTGAACCCTCTAACGCCACATTGTTCTCTAATAGGTGTCTAAATGCTGGGATGACTAACAAAGATAGCACTGACCAATACGTATGTTTGTCTGTCCTTACTAATAATGCATCTGCAGAAGGCTCATAATCTCTGCATTTTGGCTGCAGGGATTTGCCAGGGATTATAGTTTTATTAGCAGCTGCCGGAATTTGTTTCAAACTCTGAGTGACATGGGCAGTGACATAGTTTATATGAAGGATTCATAATCTGGTAACTGAGGTGATAAGGACAAAAGTTATTTATTCGTGACTTTTTTTATAACCATTTCTTCATTCAAATGTTTGTGTGGAAATGTACACAAGTACAGTAGGTAAAATTATTAAAATAAAATGTAAAAGTACTCACTCCAGAAGAATGCCCCCTGTGAGTATATTACAAATTATATAATTTGATTATTATTTCTTATGTGTCGATGTAAAAGCAGAGTTCTTCTGTCGTAGTTGGTTGACTGCTGATGATTTGCTACTTATTTTTTCAATTAATTGATTGATTGTCAGAAATTCTGTAACATGTGACATCCTATTTTGTACAAGCTCAAACCTCAAAATGATTATAAATACTGTAAATTAAAAGTACTGAAATTATTAAAAAGAAAAACAACTAATTCTCACATTTCAGTAGCTAGACCTATGATATACTGGAAATGTTTGTATAAAATATGACTGAAAAACAATAATAAAAATAGTTGCCGGTTAAGTTTTTGGCAGTTGAGTAATTTATTAATCACTTAATAATTTAGCTGTACACCATAACTACACACTGTTGGGTTTAATTTATAACGAAGCTTCATGTTTTGTAAACTTTTCATTAATTGGTAACTAAAGCTGTCAAGTAACTTTAGTGGAGAAAGTACAATATTCCCCACTGAAATGTAATGGAGTACTCAGTGGCACAAGTACCTCAAATGTATACATTTTTTCAAATACAAATGCTTCAGTAAATTGCTTGTTTTGTGTACAATACTGACCTTTTGGCACTAAAGTTGCCTTATTTTATTGTTGTGTTTTATATATTTTAAAAGCCCATCTAAAGCCCAGCATTGCACACTTCACTTAACTATAAATTCTGTAGTATGTGACCTTGCCTATATACAAATAAACATTAAAATAAAAGAATGTTCATAATGATATAACAGTATTTCAGATATCATTTCTATATTGTTTTTGCCATGATTATATTTTCTCCTTTACTGTTCATATTAATCTTCAATCATTTGCATCACTCCCCTGAAACATGAATCTGTTATATTAATACTTAAGTTACTTTAAATGTGAACTTAATTTCAATAAGGTCCCAGTGGTAGAAGTACTCTGGTCTGTTCCTTAACTAAAAGAAACAAGAACACGGTGTAGAAATAATAAATACAAGTCACTGATTCAAAGTTTTACTAGTATTTGGAAAGGTGATTTTAAAAATGTTCTAACTGTGACTTCTTCACACACGGCTAGGTAATGTATAATGTTTATTGTATAATAATCCATCATAGTTTATTTGCTGATTATATTTTGTAGAAATTATTTGGATTTGTGAAAGTTTTTAAATAGATGTAATGGAGTAAAAACTGCAATGCTTCCCTCTGAAATATACTGGAGTGTAAAGTAACATACAGTAAAACAGAATTGGTACAAGTACATAAAAATTGTACTTTATAACAGAGCTGGAGTAAATGTTCACCACCGTGAAGTGAAGTGCGTCGGAGGCAGTAATTCAGTTAAAATCTCATTTATTGTGTAATAATTTGTCTGCAATGTCTCTGCAGGTTCCACTCTTTAGAACATTTCCACTGCAGCTGGCCCTTTAAGAAACACAAGTTGGCACAGATGCTTGAAAAAATGTGAATGAAATCCAGCCATTCATAAAAATAGGCCACTGCTGCGCTGTGATTGGCCGAATTAAATTCATGCATAATTCATGATTCCGGAGAAGCTATTGGCTGCTTATTTAACGAACAGCCGGGATCCACCAATCAGCGTGTGGCGCTGCGTGCAGCTCGAGCTCAGGGGAAAAGCGGCGGGGCATGAGCGAAAAGCTCAGTCAAGTTTTGTGAGTCAAAGGAGACACTTCAGTGTATCAGTGCGCAGGCGACTGCACCACTGGCGACACGTTGCTTTTTTATTTGTGGATATTTCTACAGCTTTGTTTCAATATTGAGGACGTATTTACACGCAAGCAAGGTAAGCTGCAACAGTTATTTCGGCCAGAACTTGCTTTAATGAAGCCGTGTAATAGCTATTGTAATGCTTTTTAGACTACAAATGAACGCAACGCCATCTTATTTAAAGATATTTACTTTGGCAACCATTTTATATCGGCTGTTGTCTCAATAAAATAGCCATGTGAGGAATTTAAGCCCAGAGTGTGTTGCATTTCGACTTTGGATTATCTGTGTGAATATTGGCTTTGGCTTATCAACGCGGTCTGACGACTGTTTGTGTTCCTTTATGAATGGACGGGCCATTTTTTCGCTCCCTGTGTTTCCACACGGATCGAATTTCACTTCATTGAGAAAAACAAGAGAGGGATGGGTGGGGGAAGGGCGGGAGGGGAGGAGGTGTGATCGTCGTCCCCCAGGACGGTCCCCGAGACTCAGCTGAAAACGTCGAAGTTTTACCAAAAAATAGTGTCAAAAGTTGCGCAGAATCCAAGTTTGACTGTTTACTTTTCTACTGCGATAATGCTGAAAGCGAAAACCCTGCTAGATGTGTGGAGCTTAGTCTAATTCTTGGTGCGTTTAGAGCCCACATTCTGTTATATATGGCCCACATTCTGTTATATATAGAGCCCACATTCTGTTATATATCCTAAGGCTCAAGCCCTATCATATAATATTCCTAGAGTCGAGGCCGCCTTCATAGACCATAAGAATGTCAATATTGGAGTTATTTTTGATAGTAAAGTCGTTTGCCTCAACGAGTATACTGTGTGAACAGTAGGTCAAAGTATAGAAAATAAAATGAATACTAACCTCCTGCTGATTTACACACTATATGCTCCACATGAACATATTTAAAGTGCGTTCTACTGTTATAAATGGTGTGTGTGCGCTGTAATTATTATCCAGCAGCTATCCTTCATTCGTTATCCGTTAAAGGAGATAGTGAGTCATATCACTCAGCTGAGGGAGATGTGAGAACACAGAGCAGCGCTAGGGTCTTGGTGTTGTGTTATTGTTGTTGAAAGGGAACTTTTTTTGTTCCTGGTTTCTAACTGGAGTCTTGTGCACAGAGGTCTGGGAGTTGAGGTGATAACAACCGGGAGACCCAGCAATAGGTGCAATCCTTGTTAAGACACTAACCAGCTTTTTTTCTGTTCTGTTTGGGGAGCTTTGCTTTGTAGAGCATGCCACAGACTCTGAAGAGAGGGGCTCCTCTTTCCAATTCTTTCGCTCCAAGCTGATTACAGAGGGGCAGGGTGCCCACAGAGGGCCACTGAGCGTGGCTTATATAACTGTATTATATGTGTTCTGTAATGACTGCGTTTACCGTGTGTTGCTTCCTCTAACTCAGCGCTGCTCGGATCAAAGAGCTGTTTGTTGCTCAAATAAAAGACTCGGGGAGGATGGTGGCCAGAATAAGAAGCACTGCACACAGAAGGGTGTGAAATAATGGAAGTGAGGTGAATCGATAGCCATGCAACTTAGTCCCAGCAAAGCAAGTTTGGGCTTGTTAGACTGGAAGGTCTTGCTGTTTCGTCCCCCAACCCTGATGTTAAAGTGACATATAAATGGAATATTCAGTGCTTCCTGTTGTGAAAGTATGAACTAGATTTCTTAGCGGTTCCTTCACACCTAATTTATATGTGTTTTCCAGTGATCCACACAGTGATCCGTACACTGTCGTTTTAAAGCGAACACCCCTCCTCCCTCCAGTATCGGAGCCCCCGACTCACCCGGGTAACATGGACGAATTCTACGACCAGCAAGTCCCGTTTATGGTCCCACCCAGTGTAAGCGTCACACACCACTTCCTCACATTTGGCTCTACTACATATGGATGGACCTTCTTTTGGTCGCCGTAGATCACTGTACACTTAGAGTACACTTTCATCTGCAGCGTCCACTGGGATGGAAGTGACATCCTGTGTTGATCATCTTGTTCATCTTCTCCCTCCCAGCAGCACAAGTCTCATGTGGAGGGACCACCTCACAACAGGCCTCTGAATGACAGGAAAAGGAAATTCGTGGATGCAGAACTCGCCCAGGACACAGAGGGTAATGTCACTGATGTGAATGAAGGAGGCGTAGCCCATGTTTTGTTTTTGTTTTTTTTTTAACTGCTGATTAGCTCTGCAGTCAAAGTGGTGGGAACCTGTGCTCAGTAGCTTTCACTTCTTGGTTTCCAGAACTCTTCCAAGACCTCAGTCAGCTGCAAGAGATCTGGATTGCTGAAGGTGAGTTCTGTTTCCTCTGTCTGTCAAACACTGCAGAATAACTTCAATGAAATTATTTTGCTTTTGTGAAAGTTGTATTACTTTGGATGTGACATATTGCTGTTTTTGTGTTGACAGTCACAGAGATTGAGTTTTTAAAACCACTAAAGTTATTTCCATCAGATAACCTTCCTTGTTTTTCTTTCCACTGTCTTTGGGTGCATGACGGTTTCAGTGTTTGTTTGTTAGCATAAGAACTGTTGGATTTTTCTCACGCCTGTGATTTTCTCCTGTATCTTTACAGCCCAGGTGCCTGATGATGAGCAGTTTGTCCCAGATTTCCAGTCAGATAGCTGTGAGTACCTGATTTTTGTTGTCCCTCTATGAGTCTGTAGTTGTCCAGTCCTGATCAGGATGTTTCAGCCCTGAGTGTTCCTACCTGATTTGGGCAGGGATTCAAACAGCGGGCTGAAAATCGTGCAGCGTTTTAGCGGCACTACATCAGAATATTTCTTCTTTTTGATTTGAGTAAAGAGCTCTGATTCTGTCTGAGTTTCTGACTGTGACCAGATGTCCAGGGTACCCTTCTTTTTATCAGAACGTCTTCATCCTGCCGAGGACAAACCCCGTTCTTCATCGTCAAAACACTTTGGAAAAAGGCTGCTCTCCCTCCGCCCTCCCTCCCTCTCCTCCATTTTGAGTTTAATCAGCCGATTGGCATGGGGCATCACATGAGCCAAGCTCCTAATCTGATTTCACACTTTCCCGCACTCAGACCCTGCTGCTGAAGTGGACTAGATTCTAGTGGATATGGCAGCGTCAGAGGTGCCTGTTTCAGTCCTGCTCCCCAGAATTCACTAACTTGCTCCATATATGCGCCTGTTTGTCTCTGCGCATTGCTGAAGGCTGCAGGTGAAGGATGTATTTGAACTGTGCCCAGTGGAGCATTTTATGACCTCCCCTCGCTTCTGTCTTCCTGAGTTTATGTTTTTGACTGATGCGTAGGAGATGTGGACAGGGTGTGGCTGCTGCCTGTCTCTCTCAGGACCGCCTTTTAAAGCTCGGTTAGCTGTGAGCTGGCCACGAACCTGCAGTGCTGTAACATATTATTGTGGTTGATGCATTGACATGTATGTATTTTTCTAGAGGGCCCCATCCAAGGTTGTATCCGTACAGGTTTACACTGTGTATAATCAGTGTGGTGTAGTCCTTGACCTTGTATTGTGAGTACACTGTGTGTTTCTTGGTACTTGTGGGATACAGAGAAGTATTTGGCAGTCACTGTTCTCTCCATCAGTTCCCTATTCTCCAGTAGGAAATCACAGCTCCCTTACTTAGGCCCAAATTCAGTATGATTTGCTTTGGTGTGGAGGTGCACTCTAAGTTTAGAGGTGAGAAGTTGAGAACTGGGTGCGGTTGAGATGCTACAGCAGAGGGGTTTGCATGTAGGGTGCACCAGTCCAAAGTAAGAAAAGATGTCTAATCTCCCCATTATTTACTTCCTCCCTGTGTGAGGCGACTCACTCAAGCCATTAGGTTTCACAGCGCACACAGGGGAGCTCACGTGCCCATTGTTAGCCCTGCTTTAGGTCCATCAGCACTCTGGCTGATTTATTTGGCTCCAGCTCCTCTGTGCCTACGGATCTAGTTTCTGCCTGGCTATTATGTGGTGCCCCGGAAACTGCAGCCAATACACAGAAAGCTGCAGCTACTGTCTAATGGTTACAGCATGGGAGAAGAAAATCATTCATTGCCATTAGATTACAGCCACACTGATTCACGGCTATTGGTATTGGCCTGCCCTAATGGGAATCAGACAAGAGGTTTGATAGCCTTTGTGTGTATAGTGCAGTTTGTATCATGCTACCTACGGTGGTGGATAAATGGTTGTTTTGAGAGTGCAGAGTTGACCGTCATTAGGCCAGATGATAAATAGCTGCTAAGTGGCTCTGTCAGTCAGGGGAACACACAGACACTGTCCATGCATCCATTTATCCATCAGTTCCAAATGTGGTTAAGATAACTGCTGCACTTCTGTTTATGGCTTCTATTAGGTGATATCTGGAGTTTATCTAATGTTCTGAGTTGTGTCGTTTCTTTGTATCCAGTGATGTTTCATGGCCCGCCTGCTGCCAAGATCAAACGAGAGCTGACTCCCTCCAAAGAGTTTTCTCCCTGTCGCCAGGACAGGAGTCCCATGCTCTCCGGAGAGAAGTGCCTTTACAGCTACAGGTATGTTAGTCATTGCATCTGTAGCAGTCAGCAGCCCGTGGATGGCGTACTGATTATCACTCTCAATTGAAAGAGTTGTGACTTAACCTGTCAACTTTGCCCCATCTTTCCTTCAGTGCCTGTGACAGGAAGCCCACACATGGGTTTAAGCCATTAACTCCCCCCTCCACACCAGTGTCACCTTGTGGCGCCACCAGCACAGCAGGAACGCTCCCACTGTGTGAGCAGAACCCCTCTCCTCACCCCCATGTAGCCAATCCGAATATAGGGCCCCGTCCACTACACGTACAACAGCCTGTATCTGCGAGTGCAGGCTCTCCCAACCAGCAAACGCTCCCAGTCCACAGCCACAGCTCGCCATTTGCCATGCCCTGTGCCCCCATCAGCCAGGATGCCAGTAACTTCACACCCGAGCACAGGTGAGCACTCAGTTTAAATGAGTGTGGGATATTAGCTTTTTGTGTTCCAACATAGTCTTACTGTGAGCAGAGTTTCCAAAAAGAGCCTCCATCACATTGTCTTGCCTCTTCCCCCTACATCTTCAGGTTCCAGAGGCAGATGTCAGAGCCATGTCTACCTTTCCCCCCATCAGAGAGTCAAGGGCTCCCCCAGTTCTTGCCACAGCCTCCCTGCAGCAACAATAACAGCCTGCAACGTGACGGGCGTCCACCATACCACCGGCAGATGTCAGAGCCTCTGGTGGCTGTTCCACCTCAGGGCTTCAAGCGAGAGCTCATCGATCCACGGTACACTGAGCAGGGCGTCCCCACCATGGGTCCCCCAGGTCCACCCCCAGGTCCTCCACGTCAGACAGCTTTCCACCCCATGGCCATAAAGCAGGAACCTCGTGACTTCTGCTTCGATTCTGGTAAGTAGCAGTGTTTAGAGCAAAGTGGTGGCTGATAAAATAAGTTAAGAAGAGTTCATTTCTTCTCAAGATGTCTCTGTTTGTCTGCGCCTGCTCAGTGAGGATGTCCCCTTGCTAGCTGTATGAAAGTTATTGTCTAGGGCTGTGTGTGAGAAGAGCAGACAGAGGGTGAGGAATGTGCCTGGCCATGTTTGTTCTGGGTACTAACAAATGCCTGTGAGTTTTAGCATGCAGCAGAAGCCTGAGCACATAGGTACACACACACACACACACACACACACTCTTAAAGCCTAATCTGCATCATTCCTCCAGAGTCACACCAGTGAAGTGAAAGTAGGTCTTTTAGCTCAGCGTAAGCCTCTAAGGGCAAGAAGTAAATGGGTCATAGAGTCAGGTGCAGAGAACCTGGAGCCTACCTGGAATAGATCTAGGTAAGTGCACACAGAGGACTTAGTGGCCTGCAGCACAGCATGCTGATTGCAAGAGCCTGGAAAATCTAGACTTGGTTTGCACAGAATTCACAGAGGTGCCAGTCCTCTCCCAGGACTCCTCTCAGTGGCGTCAGAGTTGCTGTTTACTCACGTGGTATAAATCAAAGAAGCCAGAGCAACTGTTGGTGCATTGTTTGATCCTGACGCCCCCTCACCCAGCTGGTGACCCTGCTCTGCTGCTGCCTTAACATCCTTGTTTCCTCAAATTCTGCAACTTTTTTTTTTTTTTATCCTTTCTCATTGAGTCACTCGCATATACTCGTTCTTTTTCTTGCTGGTGTGTGACTGGCTGGCCGGTCAGTGATGTAATGGCAAATCCTCTTAGCTTCTTATGGCTTTTTAAATAACCTACATCACAGAGGCCTCACATCTTTAGATGGATGGCTCATGGAAGATGAGCATGTTCGGCATACCAACGTGGAACATATTCTCAGAGCACTGCTGGGTGGTCCACAGAACGTGCCACAACCATCCATGTAAAGAGAAAGCCACAGTGTAAATCCATGCATGATCAGTCTTTGAGAAAGGAAGTTTCCACAGTTACTTTGTTTTCAATTGTTTCTTTTTCTCTACATGCTTGGTGGGACTTGACAGTAATGGTTACTCCCTGCGGACCTTTTCCTAAGTAAGAGCAAGGAGAGAGAGACTTAAAGCAGCACTAATTCAAGATTGATCTGTGATTTTTCTTATCAGTAGACAGGAAGCAGAGTAATGGGTGGGGCTGGAGACACTGCAAACAGAAGACAGGCCTTGACCCCTCGGGGGGGGGGGGGGGGGGACAGGCATAACTGTCATTGACATTTAATGCAGCCACCATGGTGCTAATCCTTTTTTAAGGTTTTGACAGACATGCAGTGAATGTTGTGCATTGACGAACATGGCCATTGGTTGGACAGAAAAGCAACCACTACATGTTTTGACCATTCATATCCATACTGAACATTGCGACTTAACATGCTAACACAGCTCCGACTGCAGATAGTGTATCAAAGCTATGTGCCTTTGTATACACTGGCAGGGCTCCAAATCTCTCTGTCAGCTGGGAGGTGCACTTTTATTTATTAGTACACATTTGATAAGACTGAGATGTTTCTTTTCTAAATTTATACATGTGTCTTCTTTACAGAAGTGCCTAACTGTCAGTCATCCTTTGGGAGAGCGGGGAGCTTCTACCAGAATAACCATGAAAGTAAGTTCATGTTGTTGTCCTTTTGTCTCCGATGTTTACATGCATTTATTAGTAACGTCCATTCTTTGACCCTGAACCTTGTGACTTACTGAGCTGCTGAAAGCTCAGCATGGTGAGAGAATAGTGCAGCAGCATTTGACTGACAGGGGAAGTGGATCTGTCAGTGAAGCCAGTGTAGCTGCTCCACACATAGAGAACATTTCTCACATCAGCAGCTGGCGGAAACTCAGTTCTATGCAGGCCTCTACTCTTGGGAAGCTGCCTGGTTATATTGATCTATCTGCAGTTTGGATCTGTGGGTTGAACACGGGCACGGTTTCCTGCGCTCTTTGATCTGATCCTTGCTGTATTTCTTTCATTTTTCCATTTCAGGCTTCTCCTTCGACAGAGATCCTCAGCTGTACTTCGATGATACCTGTGTGGTCCCTGAAAGATTAGAAGGTAAGACTGAAAAACACAGTTAAAAAAAAAAAAAAACATTCAGTAGAAACAGAAAAAACATGGTTTCTGCAGTACAGCATGCTCATAAAGTAGGAGTCGAGTTCTTTGACTGCTCATGGTGCATAATGAACAGCAAGTCCACTTCACAGTCACCATCTGGCAGGAATGTCTCACCACACTGTGGCCTGGTGCTCTCTCTCTCTCCCCTTCTGCCTCTTCATCTCTGTCTGTTCTCTCTTGTCCTGCTCCTTCCTTCTTCTTCCACTCATAGGTAAAATAAAACAGGAACCCTCTGTCTATCGTGACGGACCTCCCTACCAGCGCCGGGGGTCCCTGCAGCTCTGGCAGTTCCTGGTCACTTTACTGGACGACCCGGCCAATGGCCACTTTATAGCCTGGACTGGTCGTGGCATGGAGTTCAAACTAATTGAGCCTGAGGAGGTTGGTCCCGGTTGCACTCTTATCTTCTCTCGTGTTTTGCACATAAACCTTTGAGACTGATGCTGCGGATTTGTAACCCATGGACTCCGTCTTGCAGGTGGCTCGTCGTTGGGGCATCCAGAAGAACAGGCCAGCCATGAACTATGACAAGCTGAGTCGCTCGCTGCGTTACTACTATGAGAAAGGCATCATGCAGAAGGTAAAGGCACGTTCACCTTTTCTATTTTCTCCCACTACCCTCTCCTCCAGCAATCGTGTGCTGTTTAGGAGCTTAAAATAGCAAAGATGGGGATATTTGATTATAGCCATCAGGAGGCTTCTTGTGCAGAGTCTTATCGTAGCCAGTGGCTAAATTGTTTCAGTGAATTCTAACTTGCAGGCCTCATCTGTTCTGTTCTTCTTTTACTAGATATATTGAATGTTTGGTGTTTGCTGCCTTCAGTCAGATCAGGCTCCAGACAAATTAAGTCTTAAATTAGATTTGAAAATATAGCGTAGGTGGATCGGTTAGGGTGTTGTTCAGGAGTCAGATTACTATACAGTACTGTTAAGAGTCTGCAGAGGAAATTGCACATTTATCCAGTAAATATGATGTTATTCATGCACTCAAAAAAACATTGTTTGTGTTGTTTCTCAGGTGGCTGGTGAGAGGTACGTATACAAGTTTGTGTGTGATCCCGAGGCTCTCTTCTCGATGGCCTTCCCCGACAACCAGAGGCCCAACCTGAAGGCCGACCCAGACAGTCTGCAGGGGTTGGACGACGACACTGTGCCCCTCACCCACTATGACGAAGCCGCTCCCTACCTGGTGGATGCTGGGGAGCCGTGCGTGCCGGGCTTGCCCTTCTCAGATAGCTACGGCTACTAATAGACCTGATGCACATTACACATGTACACACAAACACTCCCAAAATTTCTCGACGCCCACTCTTAAAATCCAGAGCTGGAACTGTTGAGCCACTTGGAAGGAAAACCTCACACTCTGTTCCTTCAGTTCCCTCTCCTGCTCCCTGGAAACCCTTCATAAAGCTCCCCAGCTACAAATGAACAAGGGAAAAACTTGCAACAGCTCTTCTACTGCACCAACACACAAGAGAGAGAGAGAGAGAGAGAGCAAGAGAAAGGGAGAGGGTTGTGAAACCAGTGAGGGTGACCTGGACTTGGTAGCTCTGCCCACCTTACAAGCCTCCTGAAGTAAGGCAGGTTGCTATGGAGACCAAACAAAATGAGGTCACAGCCTGCCAACTTTAAAAGTACTGACAGACCCTCCATTTGTACAAGACGACGAGACTTGTTCCACTTCAGATTTTGTGACAATCTTCTTTTCTTAAACCTGATCAACTCACCAACAGAGTAAAAACAAAAAAAAAATTTAACAAGATATTCTGTAGTTGCCTTTCTGGGTCCATTTCCCCATCACCACATCTGAACTGTGAGATCCGTTAAAAAGGGCTTTAACTTGCAAAAACGGATTAAAAAACAAAACCTATTCTAAACCCACAAATCAGTTTTTTTTGTGTTTTTTGTGTTTTTTTTTTTTTTTTTTTTTTTTTTAAATGTGCCAGCTCTTCTACAGTTTTGTTGAGACTTCAGAGACCCCGAACTCTCAGGTTTCTGGGGTGTTGCTGTATTTCAGGCTAGCTGGTTGGGCTGCTCTCTCGTGTAAATGTTATGTTCTTGTATCTGCTTCTCTATAAGAGACTTCACCCTATGGCAGGAGCCCACAGTCTATACAGTACACTTCTCTCAACCTCTGTTCAGATATGATCGGCTCCATCTAAAAGGGATACAGAAAGCGATTACATATTTTTCCAGAAGACTGATAATTCATAAAAGCCTAAGACATTATTATGTATGATAAATGGTCATGTTGCTCCTTTTTGTATTTCTGTCTGGGTGCTTACTGTTTCCTTAGCAGTGTACTAGTTCCTCTGATGCACCAGTATGGCAGGAGCATCAGGATGTTGCATGCAAAAAAGCAAAAGGGTGAAAAGTTGACACCTTCAGTTGGACACCTTTCTACCAATGACAGGAGACCTCTACTTTTCTTTGCATGGTGTAATCAGTCAAGACTGTCCACTAACATATCGCATTACTGTCTTTGGACAAAGAAGATGTTTGTGATTTTCTTAGCTTTTTTGTGGTCATTATCTCTTTCTGAATGGGGCAAAGACAAACTTATATAAAGTATATATTTTTGCTATAAGGCTGCATTTGTTTTGATTTAATGGATAAGCTGTATAGGTCTGGCTCTAATAGACGTACCTTTTTAAAACCCAATCTCAGTCCTTGGGATGCTCCTACTGCAGACTGTTTCTTTAAAGTGGTTTCTGTGTTGGGCCTAAGAATGGATGAGAAGATGTTATTATCCTGCCTTTAGGTGTGTGTGTGTGTGTGTGTGTGTGTGTGTGTGTGTGTGTGCGCGCGCGCATGTGAAGGCCCAAGCTCTGGCCAAGGCCACAGTGAAGACACACATATGATGGGATCCACTCTGAGCACAGGGATCGTCTGCACTTGTACAGGCTTCAGTCCCCTCACCTTACAACGTGCTTCTTACACTGCTGAGTTGATGATCATCTATACTGGGTACAATAAACACTCCTCTATGGTTCACTGCCTGCAGTCTTGGTGTGTTTCTTCATGTGCTCCCCCACCTCCCCGCTCCTGCTTGCAATAAGTCTGTCAGCTGACTGGCTGCTGTGGTCTGGCATCAACTGTGCTTGACCTGGCTGATTCATGAGTCACATGCCTCTCCTTTCTGATGCATTTCTTGGTAAATGATTTTGTTTTCCCCTGCGGCAAGTGTGTTTTAAGGTTGTGTACAAGCAATAATTCATTGCATGTGCACTGTTTAATTTTCATAACTCTAACTGTTACTTAAGCTAATTTGAGTATTTTAGCAGTAATGTGTAGTGTTTTTTTTTTGTTTGTTTTTTTTAACAAATCCAGATGATGATGATGATGATGATGATGATTAAGTTTAATTTACAGTACCCTGACACACAAGGGGAAGGTACTTTTGGAAATAAAACCACAGTATGTTGAGTGCTTTTGGCTGCTGTTAATACACACAGTATCACAGTCTACAAGAACAATCTATTCACCATTTTAATATTTATGGATTAGTTATACTTTTGTGTTCCCATGGGCACGTGTGAATAACCAGTAAATAATTCACAGCTGGACACCATAAAACCTACCGTGAAAAGTATTTTACACAAGGAGACGTTTCTGACTTTGCTGTTTGCTGCTTATTTGAGTTTGTGGAATTATTCATGAGGTTCAAGTATTAGATTTGTCTGAAAGCACAAAGTAAGCTATAAATATTAAAATGTTCAATCTGTGCTCCCATGCTCTACGACCCGAGGTTAAAGTGTAATCCACAAGCTGAAATAACATCAGGACAAATGAACTTTGATTTAAGGGTTTATGCATTAAAAATATTAAAGGTTGTCAAAGTATGTTTAGCATCCTCACATTTTACACTTACACTGTGCATATTCCTAAATTAGTATTATTCTTAATATACAGTATATGAGGCATTATCATTAACATATAATTACATGTTATTAGATTTATTTTTAACCAGATTAACACACAACATGAGGCTGTATAATATTTAAAACACTGAGTAGAAATACACAATAGGCTAATAATTACTTAGTTTCAAAAGTTTCCCTTTCCATTATATTAATGCATGCACATTTAAGTGATAAGTGAATTTTAGAAACTTATTTTGTATGTAAAATCTTAGAAATGTAAATAGCAACCAAAGTATTTTTATTTATAGAGCACCTTCCTAAAATAGGATTTATATTTATAAAGTGTTTTACAGAGAATGAAAACGGTGAGGACATGTCTAACAATAAAAACAACATACACCATAGGACAAGATTAAAGTACAGTGTAACTAAAGCCATCACATCAATGTAGTGGACTAAAGTATTTCCCTCTGAAATGATGTGGAGTGAAGTAGCATTAAAAAGAAGTACAGCTCAGAACCGGACCTGAGTCAATGCACTGTATGTTTTGAGTTGGCCATTGGCTCTTATTAAATTGTGTATTTGTCTGTGAACACTGGGTGGACTTGTGAGTTACATGACGTTTCACAACTTGTAATATCTGTTTCATTTTCCCAGCTTACCTGAAGCCTTTCTTTGTACTGTGTCTGTCTTGTAATATCACTGTGCTGTTAAACTTGTCGCCAGCAGAGATACATAGCATGCTGGTATCTGATAAGTAGACTCAGGCACAGTTTTGATGGCCAGCAGCACTCAGTCTGGTGTTGAGTCAGAGCCTTATCAAACCACAGTGTAAAAGCCAGTAACACAGCCTGGCAGGCAACTCACCATTGATTGAACAAGCAGAGTGCCTTTCAATACTATGAAAGCCCTTTTAGTGTGCTCATGGGAAGTGCCCTGCCTTGATATTGTGTATGTGAGAGTATAGCTGCTGCCAGCACTCATAACAGATGCTTTTTTTGGAATAAACTTTACTCCTAGCTATGTTTTGTGTTTTCCTCTTTCACTGAGAGCAGCTGGTGGAGGTGTGTGTGCGGGTGGCCTCGATCAAGACAAATTTAGAAAAGTTCACTTCAGGTTGACGTATTTGACTAGTGGAGATATTGTCGATCATGTTAGTTCATATCACAGCCCTATCATTGCAACACTGTGGCACTGTGACCCTTCAGAAAACCCTTCTCTTTTGTCTGATGAATCAATACAAACAAGTGTGTATTATTTTAAAAATTCAGATATGAATATTCACACCTTAATTGTGAATTTTCTAGAGGACACCTCCAGTCGTCTTGACAGACTGAGATGGAACAATGCATCACTGTCACAAACACACCTTGAAACTGTCCAATCACTTTTCACCTTGCAAACAGTAGTTTGACAAAACTAATTTCAACTCAGGCTCCACTCACTAGCTTTTTCCAGTGTAAACAGACTTGTTGTTTTGTTATACTGTATGTCCAGCATCTCTGCATTGACACGCCCCGATGAATCAGTCTAAGTTTTAACCCTTGTTTGAACTAGAAATGCTAGCAGCTCTGTGAAGCTGCACACAGGCAAAGTGCTCTTTTAAGCTAAATGCTAACAGGTTAGCGGGTTTAATGTAAACTATGCTCACCATCTTAACTTGTGTGCTAATTAAACCAGAGTATTGGATATATTCAAATTTTGACTTGTTGGTGACGCTACTTCAAAATTCAGTCAAGCCAGTTTTTTTTTATAGTCCCATATCACAAATCACAACTTTGCCTCAAGGGGCTTTACAGACTGTGTAGCATACCATACCCTTAAGAAAAAAGCAGCAGAAGAGGCATCCCACTTCTCACAGACATACAATATATTCAAGGATCACCTGAATCCCTAAAACATCAGGGATCACCTTAGTTATTAAAACTTATCCTGAGGGGAACTTGAATGTTTGTACTAAATTTCATGGCAATGCATCCAGCAGTTGTTGAGACATTGCACTGAAAACATAGAGTAGCTATGTCAAATGTACAGTGTTGCTGAAGGGCAAGTTAGAGGATCATCAAGCTCAGTAAGCTTCATCCTTTTGGGACTGTTGATGCCTGTACAAAATTCTATCCATCTGACACGATTTTGGAATATTTCTGCCTGGACCAAACAACAGTGCCTTCCCTAAAGCCATGCCACTCCCCACCCATTACCTAGCTCTGTATACCTTTTCCCCTCCCTACTAGAACACAACACAGAATGCCTCATTCTTGTCCAGCACCACTTACTGACCTGGCAGAAGCTAACACCATGCTAAACCTATATCTGATACATGGCCCTAGGCTTGAGCAGGGAGGGAAGTGGACAAACCAGAAGGGTAGTCCTTGACATGACCACTGGCTGCTTCAGAGTAAATTACTGATCCAGATACAAGACGAGGCAGCTCGAGTGTAACGATTTCACCTTTGAATCTTCAGACCATGGCAGGCACTCACACACAAAGCCTCCATCTGCTGTAGTTTGAGAGAGTGAAGCACTCTGTTCTGGCTACGACTGCCTAGAAAATGTGGGTCATACTGCCGGGAAGGGAACAGCACAAAGTCTTCACATGAATTGGCCAACACGCTGTGTTCGCACAATTCTAATTACCATGGTGAGATCTTGCTCCTTCAACTCTGTTACATAACTGATTTCTCACAAGCACACACACACACCCAAGTTGTTATGCATTTCAGATTTTCATAAGACCAAGAAGGCGTCCATATTATTTTACATTGACCATGGCTGCCCTCTGGTGGATAGATACATCAGAGTGTACACAACCTCATAAAACTGAATTAAAGAGCATTCAAGTTTAAAAAGAAGTTTGTGTAAGGACGTCTTCATTATCTGTTTACTTCCGTTTACTGTTTATTTACAAGTACCACTTGCTGACAAAGCACCACTGGTGAATAGAAGTTAAAGGGTTTTGATGTCCCTTAGAAATAATTCTTTCACCATTACAGCAATAAGTTACTCTCTTGTTCTTTTTCAGCAGGCGTCTTTAGCTAAGTTTCATCAGTTGTAACAAAGGTGACAGCTATGTTCTATCAGCACCGTTGAGGATTAATGTGGAAACTGATAGTCTATCAGAAGTCTGACTTAACAGCCTTCCTCAGAAAATGTAGTTTGTCCAATTCTCTTGGAAATGTAGATGTTACAGTATCATTTTTCTGGAAATTTCATACATGATAGTACTTAAACCTTGATACTGAATGTTATAGAACATTGAACATAACCCCAGAATCTTATTTCCAATTAAATATAACTGGTGTATACTGCACTGGTTTATGAGAAGTGAACCATTTCATTTCACCACCCAAAGAGACTTAACAGTACTTAACTGTTAATGTTTGTTTGAATGGATTTAATAGCTCTCACATTTCTTTCAGTCTGCAGCTACATACAGCCTGTGTTGTGTTGGCTGCAATGGAAAACAATGATTGTATGATATGTTACACAGTCCAGCAAAGCATCTGATATATGTTTTGTCATTTCTGTTGATTTCAATTTCAGTGGAGAGATTCAGACTTTGCAACATAAAGTTGATGATGAGTTTTTCATCATGCAGAGTCAAGTGCAAACCACCAGGTTTATTAGGAAGTAACTGACTTAACAACAAAAGATAAAGCAGTCAGACATTTACCGCTCTGTAAACGTTTCACAATTGTAAACAACACATAGTGATAGATATTGCAACTGAATTCTTCCCAGGCTGGAGCTTCTTTCTGTTTTTGTTCCTTTACATTGTGGGTGTAGTGTGGGAGCTGAGAACTGAACCTGCTATAATATTTGTTTTTCACATTGAATTTATCCAGCAGTACAATGAGGTGCTGAACTGAAGTGAACTGCACAAAATAAAATGAGGTACTTTTCAGACTGGGACATGAATGTTTGTTCTGCTGGTACAACAATACAGTCACTATTGTGAATAATTGTCTTCCCTGTGGCTGTTGGGAGAAAACCTCAACAGCAGGATCCTTGAATGGTGAGCAGGAGTGTGACCTCTAACAATAAGGGTATAGAGCTTGAAACTGTGCAACTAATTTACTTTATCATAAGTATTAGATACTTTCCTCTAGAGAGACTTTAATCATTTCAGCAAAGATCCTAAACCCTGAGACATCTGCACCATAACCACTTCACCAGCATGTCAATGCTAAACAACACTTGGAATTACTGTAAAACAGAGTAATATATTGAGTTTGGTATATTCTAAATTCTGTTAAAATGTTGTGTATTTTTGTGTTTTTACTTAATGTAAGACTGATGGAAATATACAGTTGGGTGTTTTGTCTCTTACATTTAAACTGCATGCTACAGAGATTTGAAATAAAAATTTGCATGTTGTGTGCCACTAGTAAGAGTTTTGAAGTTTTGGTGTGAACTCAATAAAGTATTAAAACAGGGTGTGCCACAGGAGTTAAAGAGGAGGACAAAAATAAATGGTGGAGATATTTTTCTTGTAAATGAGGATATTTGGGAATGTTTGTTCACCTTATAGATTTTATACTGACATTTCAATGGGACCAAAACTGTGACTTGTGCAATGATGGCAGTCTTGGTTAGAAAAATACAGTTATTCCTAAAATACATTTTGTTTATATGTGAATAAAATGTGAAAAATAATAAAGAAAATACATTTAGTGTATAGAGGAATAATTTTTTTACTGTGTTTTTGCAAAAAAAAAAAATTATTATCCAGATAACAATGGGATAGAAAACATGTAGTTCAACTGTAAAATAGTAAAAGACACAGTGTAAATGCTACAGAAGAGGGACTACTTGTTGAAGTTTAAAACACAAACACACACAACACACACAGGACATGCTATAATGAAACTACTTCATGAAACTAAAGTAAGGTGAAGATGTTTAACTAAGAAATGTCTTATGCCAGCCAGCTCTTCAGGCTATAGTGGGGAATTCCATCTGATGAGGGCCTTGTTGAAACAAGGTCACTGTTATTACCCCAGTGCAATTAAATATTCTTTTCAATGATATTTAGTGAAACTGGCACAGGGTTAGGGTTTTCCCTGTTTAGTGGATAGTGAGGCAAAACAACAAAACAGGTTTTTGTAAGGTTCAACAAGTTAAACGTGAGACTTTTAAAGACCACTGAAAATGCAATTTATTATCTATTTCATGCAAATGCCATCAAAGTATGAAAATATGATGGAAAACCGGTGGAAGTGATACAACCTAGAACAAGTTATTATTATTATTGTTGTTGTTGTTGCTAATTTCCTGAGTGTTTGGCGGTATTGCTTTAAGGGCTACATTTTGACAAAAATCTCATTGGGTGGACTGATCCTTTAAACGCCACAGGACACGGTGTAACGTCAGTACCACTTAACTCAGATTAGCCACCGTTTATAGCAGTTTGCCAACAGCAAGTAAACAACAGAAGAAGAAGAAGAAGAAGAAGCAGCCGTCCTTTATAGACATGGGTAACCTAATATAGCCAAACTAGCTAGGTCTACGAATTCGGTCACATATCGTAATTGAAAGTCACAATTTCTTCGGAATATTATTTTCTGTTTTTGTAAAGGTGGCGAAATTGACAGCACAGCAGGTAACAAGCATTTAACATTATAATTAAAGGTTTAGCATTTAGACAAAGAAAGCATTGTTCTTCGTACTTTGATATTTGTGCCGCTTTAGCTAGCTTGTTAGCTAATCGTTAGCGTTAATTGTCAGTCATAATGGAGTCACAAGGGGGGCGCTTTGCTTTGACGACCCCACCGACTGCTGATATAAATCTTTGGAGGACTACTCCAAAGGCTGTTTTTCAGACGATGTGGCCTTGCTGCCCACTCACTCGACCCGACGGGGTGATGGTTCATAGGCCTTCGTATGTGCCTAGTGTCTGTACAGGTGCGGCGGGAACGCTGCTGGCGCCCTGTTTTTACAATAGGGTGATTAAAACGCCAAATCCAAGTAAGTGCCCGACGCCACTGACGTTGAGAAACACCAACGTTATGGCAGTCAAAAGTGATTTCGACGGAATAATAGGTTAACCCTCTATTTAGGTCAAATATATAACTACTGTAAGCCTTTGAGGTGGCATTGGTCTCAGGCATTTGACATTTTGCTGCTGCAGGAGACTCTGATTATATAAAATTGTTTATGCCTGGACTCGAGATTTTGTTGCATTTAAAAGTGCAGTCACGTTGGTGATTCCTAGTAATTTAGTTCCAATATTTGAGCAGGTTGTTGTTTTTAACAGTCATCCATTTAACTGTAGTTTCTCTGTCAACAGGTGAGTACAGGAAGTTCTGTCTGGACAGGTACCTCTAGTTACAGTATGTCACTACAATAAACAGTGAGTAACAAGTATTGATTTGTTGACCAAGTGCTGTTGATCTTCATTTTCCAGGTGTTTGTTTGAGTTTGTGAATGCACATGTTTATCTTGGGTTAACTGACCGAAGGTTGCTAGGCTGGTACCTCCATTTGTCTCCAGAGGACAGAAAGATCATACAAGGTATGTATGTTCCAGAGGGCAACTGATTTCAACTTAACTGCTTAATATCTGGCCATGAAATCTGTTACTGCCCTCACTAACTATCGGAGCTGAGTTTAAGCTCTGTATTTCATCTTGTTTCATATACGGTATGTAAGTGTCTGTTAATATGGGAGGGCAATTGGCCAAATGGGAGTAAAAGTCGTATGTAATTTTTCTCTCTTAGATGGAGGAGGACTTCACCAGTTTATGCAAAGACATTCTGCCTTAGAGCTGTCTAGGCATCATGTTTCTGTGAGGCGTAAGTCTCTTAAGGTGCTCAGCTTTTATTGACAAATGTGTATTGATAAGGACAAAATATCATTTACAATCACTGCAGATAAAACTGGAAATTACAGCTCTGTTCAGCCGACTGTGACATCTGACAAACACAAGTGTGTCTCACAGTAAATGCTGTGAATTGATAACACAATACATCAAATGGAGCTGTGATTGATTTCTGAAACTGTTGTCTTCTCAGATCTAAAATATCCGGAGCAAAGACCTGCACGTGTGGTAATATGTAAATTTTTAGCACTGCCAGTGATGCCCATAATTTTTCTTATTTAGATGTCTTTTAAAAGAGAAAACTGAGATTTTAAAGGCATTCAGGTTTTTTACACTAGTCTGTCACAGGCAGTGGTATGGATAGGTCAACAGCTGTTGAAGCTCAGGTTACACGTACCGCGGATGGGGAGTGAGTCATGAGCTTGTCAAACTGAGACCTGAGTTAACTCTTTAAATTAAAACACAGCAAACAGAAGCTTTGTGTGTTCACCGCCCACTGCTCTTTCAATTACCCAGCGTCTGAATCGCTACCAGTGAGTAGCACAAAACACCCTGTGTCACGAAATGGACTCAATCTCATTTCACACAAGTTTTTGTAGAGCCAGGTTCTCAAACTGAACAGAAACAGAAATCTGTTATAGTGAACTGTGACAAGTATACAGCTGCCATCCAGTGGAAGAATTGTTGTCTTTGCATTGTACTGCCTGGATGACTAAATGTAGAAATAATTGAAAAACATTTGTCTAGGACTCGGCTTAATCCTTGTCTGGGAGTCAATTTCCTAGTCAAACGAGGCTAATAAGATTTTTATTAAATTACTGTTTCTTTGTTCCTCGTTCAAGGAATGCCCCATACATATTTAGAGCAGGGGAAGCTGGTCAATAACGGGAAGGACAATTTCATAATGCCTGGCTGTAGAAACAGCAGGGATGGACCACAGCTACGTGAGGAGCTCTGTCAAAACTTCCACACAGCTCCCAACAGTCCCAGAACACAGGAACCAGCCTATCACAATGCTCACAGAGTGAGGGTTTAAACACTTGTCTGCATGTTTAAAAATGGCAGCTAAAGTTCTAACATTGGTGTAGTCTTCTGCTGTTGTATATGTGCAGTTCACTTTGTTCCTCGTTCAAGGAATGCCCCATACATATTTAGAGCAGGGGAAGCTGGTCAATAACGGGACGGACAATTTCATAATGCCTGGCTGCAGAAACAGCAGGGATGGACCACAGCTACGTGAGGAGCTCTGTCAAAACTTCCACACAGCTCCCAACAGTCCCAGAACACAGGAACCAGCCTATCACAATGCTCACAGAGTGAGGGTTTAAACACTTGTCTGCATGTTTAAAAATGGCAGCTAAAGTTCTAACATTGGTGTAGTCTTCTGCTGTTGTATATGTGCAGTTCACTTTTTTTGGTAAAAAGATGAATCATACAGGATTTTTTTTTTAGGGTTTACCACTGTCCCAGCTGAATAAAGAAAGTTCGGCATGGCAGGTGGCCAGCAGTGCAGCTGTGTGCAGGGACCCAGCAGCCCTGGAAAGCTTCTGCCCGGACATGGAGCTGGAGAGATGCAGACAGGAAGAGAGAGGAAACCCTGAGCTTACCAGCTACAGGCCAGTGACGCAGAGCCAGCCTGCGAACTGCAGCTTTTTAAACAACAACATCTTTTTAAAATGAACATTTCAAATATGTATATCTGGAGATTATAAATCATCATTGTAATTTATCACTGCAAAAACTAGTCTAAAACTCCAAGGTAAACCATTTTTTTTTAAGGGTTTACCACTGTCCCAGCTGAATAAAGAAAGTTCAGCATGGCAGGTGGCCAGCAGTGCAGCTGTGTGCAGGGACCCAGCAGCCCTGGCAAGCTTCTGCCCGGACATGGAGCTGGAGAGATGCAGACAGGAAGAGAGAGGAAACCCTGAGCTTACCAGCTACAGGCCAGTGACGCAGAGCCAGCCTGCGAACTGCAGCTTTTTAAACAACAACATCTTTTTAAAATGAACATTTCAAATATGTATATCTGGAGATTATAAATCATCATTGTAATTTATCACTGCAAAAACTAGTCTAAAACTCCAAGGTAAACCAAACCAAACCATACTACAAAAGATATTTTTGATACATCTTAATGCCACAGCTTTTGTGGCTTTAAATGGCTTTTAATTTCTAAAGTTAATACATAACAAACTTGGATCTTTTAAATTTGGCATCACAGGACAGGGTTTCGATTTGATTTGTGGTGTGAATGCACATCTTTGGTGAAAGTATTTAATGTCTGTTGCTTTGTGTTTTCGTCTGTTTGTAAGATTAATTCCTATTGATATGAGCATTGATTGTTTTGTGTTACAGGTCAGAAAGGCCATACACTGGAAACAAGTCTCCTCCTGAGTACTGCAGCTTTTACAGCACCCACATGGATGCTACCGAGTACAATGATAGAAGCGATGTTCAGTCTGAGTCGGATCTGCTCGACTGCACTTTCAGCCCAGTGGAGATGAGCAACACAAAGGAAGGCTGTCAGGATGATATGGTCTATGCTAATGAGCACACTGTATATAATGCTGAAGCTAGCTTAAGCTTAGAAGATGAGAGTGACAACTTTCACAGCATAATGGAGGACGACAAGAGCATCCTAGTCTGTCTGCCAAGTAATGGTGTGAAAGCACATAACAGTGAGATTCAGTCAGGTCCAGTCACCACTGACGGTGAAACACTGGCAGCCAAGATGAACACTGCAGAAAAATACACCTCCCCTATGTCCTGCGTGCCCGTCTGTGACATTATGGTTGGGACTGAGCTGGTACCGTGTGCATCAGTTTCTACCCAAACCGATGATCCAGAAACAGTTGACAAGCACATCGTCACTGAAGTCCACATGGCAGATCTAGACTATCTCACTGGGGTAAGGTTGAAACCAAACAGCTGCCATTAGTAGTTGCCCCAGCAAAACATTAAATGACCCGTTTAAAATTTCAGGAACTTATAAAACTCAAGAAGGTTCAAGAGGAGCTGCGAGAAAAGGAGAAAATGAAAAGGTAACATGTCAGATACAGACAGTCCTGCATTAAATGTGTTCACAGGAATTTCTTCTGCAGTTATAGGACTAATATTTAATTATGTTATTATTTTGTCAGTTCTGGGTGTAGATTGAGAAAGGGGTGTGACTGTGTCCAGCGGGCTCAGCGGGCAGAGCTGTGCCTCCTGGCCCTGCAGTACAGCATGTGCAGGCAGCACTGCTGGAGACTCTACTATGCCTCTGCTGAGGCAGACCAACTCACCCCAGTGTGTGGAGACGCATATCAGAATCGGTAACCTCTGTTTCATGGTATCAGTTAATGGTAGTCAAACCTTATTATCCAAGTAGGTGTTTCTAATGCAGCTGCTGTTTACTTGTGTTGTTCCCTATCTCTGTAGGCCAATGGACCATCCTGCAAACATGTTAAGTGTTCTGAAAAAACTGGACTCTGACTATAATGGGATGAGGGAAAAGATCCTTCAAGGGGTTCCCCTGGAGCATCTTAATCCTCTGTCTGTTGATTCTTGGAAGATCACCATAGCAGCTAGTTACATCCCTGCACAGGTGTGACTCGGCCTGCTAAGCCAGTAAATACTTAAAACCATTTGATTGATAGGCGAGTTCATATATTTTAACCACAGCTGAAGCAATAATGGTCTAATAATCTGTTGTCTCTGTTAGATCATTGGTGATGTGCGGGGAAGTGTTTCCTCTTGGTATGTTAGCATATACATGTGTGATTGGACTCAGTTTAGCAGACTGGGAGCTTTGCAGACACTGTAATGTTGTCTTGTGTGATCCTAAGGAGCTCCAAGGAGCCACAGAAGGACAGAACCGAGAAGAGCAGTGGATGTCCTGATAATGAAAGCACAAAGGGCTGCCAGGTATGCCCGCACACTGAGACGTCACAGAAGAGTACTACTAATAAAAATTCCATGAGCAGCTTGGTGTTGCTTTATTACTGCTAATTGGGTTGAACAGCTCTGGTGTTTGACTCATTTCAGAGAAAGGCTAAACAAGCCAAGGAGAACAGTGATCCAAGGAGGGCAGTCACTTGTGTCCCCCAGGGTACGGGTGTTAACCATGGTGCACATAAGCTGGTAGATGAGCAGACACATAAGCTAAAAGACCTCTCATTGTAAATAGTTGCCTGAAGTAGTTTAAGTTAGAGGTGTGTCATTCTTGGTGTGGGCAGCAGCTGCATGCAAAGAGCTCGACATCAGCGAGGTGTGGTACGATGCTGTAGAAGATGTGGAGCCAGAACGTGCTGAGACAGGACCGGACCTAAATGTCAGGACCTATGGTAAAACACTAATGCTGCTTAAGTGGAGATTTTGAATAAATTCTGAATCAGATCCTTAGTGGTGAATTTGTAACTGCAGAGCGAACCACTGACCAGGACAAGACCTCAGCACTCTGTGTTTCCAGTGTACCCAGTAATGCGATGGAGGTGAGTGTGTTTCTGCTACTGACTACTCCAAAATGACCATATGTTTATGAGAATAACTGTAGCTGTCATATAATTAAATAATACATATTGGAAATTTTACATATCAGTTCAGTTTTGTAATGAGCCTTCATTTTAAATGCCAGTGAATTGTATGGTGCTGTTGTAGCCAGCAGAGGGCAGGACAGCCTTTAACAAACACTGTCAGAAGGATGATGTGCATTAGTCGCAATCTCAACAACACACTTGTAGATGATTATTCATTTTTCATAATCCTGTTTATATTTTATGCTTGATGTTGATGAAATTTCCTGTTCCTCCTTTTGCCAATAGACATGTATTCTCTGTCCTGTGTAGTTGATAACTTGTAGCCCAAGCATCAAGAACAGGAAGATGAGTCCTGTGTAGTTGATAACTTGTAGCCCCAGCATCAAGAACAGGAAGATGGTCTGCATCTCGCCCACAGCAAAAGGAACTTGTGTGCCCCAGCACTACGGCACCATGGGCGGCTTTGACACCCTGATGGCAGAGCTGACAAAGCATCACCCAGATGTTGGGAGGCAGCGGATTGTGGATGCTCTGGTGGAACTGAGGGCCAAGCACCATGGCATCCTCAGCAGCTTGCCCCTCAGGACTATTAGGGAGATGATGTCAGAGCTTCTGACCAGGCAGGCAAGCAGCTCACAGTTGTGAGAAAGCAGTGCTCTGTGCTTAAAAATATTTGAAAGTTATTGGTTAGAATAAAATCGAACCCCTCTAGTTCTTATTTACAACTTAATTGTTTTAATGAGGAGGAGCAGTTGATCTAAAAGAAGTCTGATGTTATCTTCATATGAGGAAGTCCAGAGTCTTAAAATGTTGTTAGGAAACAACAGGTACAGTTTAACACGGTGTGTTCCCAGGTAGCACCAGATTGTAACTGAGTGCAGGGTTTATTTTAGTTTCAAAAGTTGATAGATTTCAGTGTTAAAGGTTTCGCCTAGTGCTGTCTGGCAGTTTAATTTCTTCTAAAATTGTGTTTAATGTTGCATGCAGTTGTTTGTGCAGCAGCTTTTGTTTGTTTTCTGCCAATAAAAGTCTGACTGCAATATTCCCTTCTCTGCAGCTTTATTCTATTCTAATGCGAGTCCCTCTTTGAGTTTGATTCCAGGGCTTTATATTGCTCATGAAACCTGAAATGCTGAACTTTCAGTTAAGGAGAAAAGAAAGGCAGGAGGAGACTGGCTGCCTCTGAGCCACAGCTTGGGGTGCATTTGGTCAGTGGTGGATAGGCAACTGTTGGATGGTTGTAAATATGAGCATCTTGGTGGTTCATGGTGAATGCTAGTGTAAGAACAAGGAGAATGGCCGAAACAAGCCATAGCCCTCAGCAGTTACCGGACCGGTCCATGGGCGCCACCACTAGATGACTGTGCGCAACCTCAACATGGTACACACCGTTCAACCGAATAAGGAACGGGTTAATATAATCCTGAGTTGGGAATGGGCGGGGATTCCAGTTTGGACGTGTTCTGGATAAACCCAGCAAGCAACGTTCAACTGTGTTAAAGAAAAACACTGAAGGACTTGCATGCAATTATTTGTTTAGGTATTGTATCGTCGTTGTGCATGTGAGCGCTTCGAACTGGGAAGTGCCACGAAATTGGCAGGAGCTTTTGGAGTTGCTGTCGGCGATGGGTGAAGTAGTTAAGACGTGGAAGGCTGCAGGAGCGTCCGAGCAGAGAAACTCAACAGACTGGAGTTCAGGAAGTAGATCAACGGGACAGTGTGGAATGTTCGCTTCCTGGGAAATCTGAAACAATGGGAAAGTGTCCGTCCGCACACGGACCCTTCATCCTGAGCCGCCAATAGGCGCCTCGGCGGAGCTGACATGGTCTAGACATACACTACTGTTGTGGTGTGCACGGATTGACTGGACTAGATCCAATGAAAACTCGGATGAGAAAGTGATACATTGGCGCCTACTCGGATCGAAATTCAAATCTGGTATTTCACTAAGCGTTGATTAAACACGCCAAGTGACACCATGCGGAGCCCGGGGACGCGGATGTGGCGAGTGGCTCTGTGTTGCGTGCTTATGGAAACATTTGTGCACATTGCCAGAGGTAGGACAAAGCAGTCTTGTCTGATTTGCATTCAATCGCCGGTTGCCACTTGCTTGTTGGTGCAGCAGCCGTATCACCCAGTGAGTCGGTGTTTGGAGCAAACATTCGGAGCTACTGTAATCCGATAGCACATGGCGGCGAGAACACAATATTCAGTTGGCTCTGGGTAGTAGAGAATATTTGTCTCGCACTCATATCACCCTCTTTGGAACGAATAAAGAAACGATATCCTTTGAATACAGGCTACCATACACACGTACACCTTAAGCCTCATGTTATTTATAAAATGCCACCACACTGACGGAACAGGAAAAACAAACATCTGCGCGGACGTTTCTGTTTTGTCCAGCCGCAGACTGAATGAACCACAGAGCTGAATGGACATCCCTAAGGATACCCGCAAAAACTAAAATGTGTTGGATTGCAGCACAGTGGTTTTCGCTTTTTGGTCTTTATGGAAGTTCCCCGTTTCAGGCACTGTGCTGTACCCTTTATTCATGATCTTTTCCCCACCCTGTTTGTTTCAGGTCTCAACATTTGTACGAGTGGCAGTGCTACCTCTTGCGAAGAATGCCTTCTGATTCATCCCAGCTGTGCCTGGTGCGCACAAGAGGTATGGTTGTTTTCAAGACTCAAACACTGATATGGAGCTGTATGGTGGTATTAGGGTGCATATGAGTGTAGGCTACGTTCAGCTCGCTCTGGATGGTAGGAGTCTGCAGTTTCTATAGAACTGAAATAATAAATGTTGCCCACATGTGCATTATATTTAAACCCTTCGCCATTTTAATGGTTTACAATAGTGAGTAACGCAGCGTTTGTGGCTTTCCGTCCTTTAGGATTTTGGGAAGGGGTGGACTGTGACATCCCGGTGTGATTTTAGTCAGAACTTGCAAAAGAGGGGCTGTGAAGCGCGGTTCATTGAATACCCCACCAGCAGCATGTCTATTCTTCAGAACACGCCCTTGAGTTCTAAAGGGTCTGGGTCGGCCCAGTACGATGTTACTCAGATTATGCCTCAGAGGGTCTCTCTCAGTCTGCGACCAGGTAGGTGTTACAAACATGTAGAGGCAGTGCTTTTAATTGCATATGCATGACAAAACGTTTCCCTAAAGATAATACAAAGATTCTTTTCTCAAGTATTCCATGCTGAGTGAGTGAAACGGCTAACAGATTCTTTGTACCTGCAAATCCAGGAGGGCAGACATGGTTTGGGCTGCAGGTGCGGCAGGTGGAGGACTACCCGGTGGACATCTACTACCTGATGGACCTCTCTCTCTCCATGAAAGATGATCTGGACACTATCCGTAACCTGGGCACCAAGCTGGCCTACGAGATGGGAAAGCTCACCAGCAACTTCAGGCTGGGTTTTGGGTCCTTTGTGGACAAAAACATGTCCCCGTTCTCCTACACAGCACCCAAGTATCAAGAGAATCCGTGCAGTGGGTCTGTAGTGGATTTATCACATGTTTAAATGGGATGGTGTTTTGATGGTTTTTGGATTAAAATTTTAATGGATAGATTGTATTAATATATTTTTATGCATCTAGTTTAGAAATAGTGTGATAACATACTGTGTGTCTACTAACCAATTGTAACTGTGAGGTTGAGCTTAACAGCTGTTCCTTCTCTATGTAAATGAGCCACAGAAGGTGGAAAGGAAATCCTGAAATAATTGTTTTCACCAAGCCCACTTATTCTTTTTGGCACGTTCATGAATCCTGTGTAGTCAGATATCCTGCAGTTGAAAGAATGAGCGATCTTTCACTTATGGTCAAGCAGAGTGAATAAGCTCCTGCAGTAGGTCCCGCAATCCTTTGGGTTGTTGATGTGGGGAAAACTGAAAGGGAGCGTGACAGACAGAGGGTCAGAGGCTGGAGCACTCAATGTTTTCCCCGGAGGTGAGGCAGCACTACTAACGCGCTGCCCACCATCGCGCATCACTTCCTATCTAGGTTATGGCCTTAGGTGTGTGTGTGTGTGTGTGTGTGTGTGTGTGTGTGTGTCAGTCACACAAAAATCAAATCAAATTTCTTTATATAGCACTTTAAAAACAACATCCAGCTGACCAAAGTACTTTACATGGGCAGAATAAAATTACGATAAATAACTAAAATAAAATATATAGGTTCAATACAAAAATAAAATAATAACTCAGACACACAGGTGACATACTTTCAATAAATTAGATTAAAAGGAATGCATCAGGCCCTACTGTGTATTAAAAGCCAAGTCAAATAAATAAGTTTTAAGCAATGATTTAAAAGTACTGAGGTCAGTAGCTGACCTAATATTAAAAGGTAGACTATTCCACAATTTAGGGGCTGCAACAGTAAATGCACAGTCACCCCAGCGTTTATATCTGGCCCTAGGAACCTCTAAAAGAAACTGGCTTAAAGATCTGAGTGACCTTGTAGGTTTGTGCCAATGCACTAATTCAGTGACATAAGATGGTGCCAAACCATTAAGAGCCTTAAAAACAAAAGTCAACAGTTTAAAATCAATTCTAAAACGGACTGGAAACCAGTTGAGAGAATCCAGAACCAGGGTTATATGCTCAAAATTTCTGGTACTTGTCAAAAGATGAGCAGCAACATTTTGAACCATCAAGGGCAAGATCCCGGATGCAGGCGGCCGAAATGAGCTTTCTCCGCAGGGCGGTCGAGCACACCCTTAGAGATAGGGTGAGGAGCTCAGTCACCCGGGAGGAGCTAAGAGTAGAACCGCTGCTCCTCCACATCGAGAGGAGCCAGCTGAGGTGGCTCAGGCATCTGTTTCGGATGCCTCCTGGGCAATCCTAGGGAGGTGTTCCGGGCATGTCCCACTGGGAGGAGGCCCCGGGGAAGACCCAGGACACGCTGGAGGGACTGTCTCTCGGCTGACCTGGGAACACCTTGGCATTCCCCCGGAAGAGCTGGAGGAAGTGTCTGGAGAGAGGGAAGTCTGGGCATCTTTGCTTAGACTGCTGCCCCCGCGACCCGGTCCCGGATAAGCGGAGGAAAATGGATGGATGGATGCTATAGTCAAGTGATAAAAGTGTGAACTGCAATCTCAGAATCATTAAAAAAAAGGAATGACTTGACTTTACTTAACAACCTCAGGTGGAAGAAGCTAGATTTCATAACTGAGTTCATTTGTTTATCAAATCTTAACTCGCTATCAAACATCACCCCTAGGTTTTCTGCAGTCGACTTCAGATGACGAGCCAGGGGGCCCAGATCCTGGTCAAAAGAAGTTAAGCTCACCAAGTCTCCAAAAAGCACACTGTTTTATTTTCGTTAAGATTTAAAAAGTTAAGTGCCAGCCATGATTTCAAGTCTGTCAAACAGTCAAACAATGGCTGTAATGGCATCTCTCTCGTTGCCTTCAATTGTAAGTAAATCTGAATGTGATCTGCGTAACTGTGAAAAGAAAGGCCATATTTCCTTAAGACAGGTCCCAATGGAAGCATGTACAGTGAGAACAAAATGGGACCAAGCACAGATCCCTGGGGGACACCACAGGAAAGGATTATTGAACAGGATCAAACATGGTAGGGATATAGTAAAGGGATAGAATAGACCGCAACCAGCTCACTTCTGTTATTTCTTGCCCTAGTTGCAAACAGCAACAGTATGTAGAATGTCTGGTTTTACTTTTTAAGACATTATCACATCAAAATGAACTGTTAGAAACTCTTTAATATAATACTGCTAGGATTAGTTTTTAAATTAATGCTTTATAAAGCAAGTCAGCTTTTTCATGTTATGAATAAACTGTGTAAATACCAATACATAAAGTTGCTTCAGGTGTTGTCTGATTTGACTTTCAGAGAAAACATGTGGCTCATCTCTCCTTGTCACTCTGCACAGATACAAACTGTTCCCCAACTGTGTACCCACCTTCGGTTTCCGCCACATCCTCTCACTGACAGACAAAGTGGACCGTTTTAATGAGGAGGTGCAGAAGCAGATGGTATCTCGCAACCGGGATGCACCAGAGGGTGGATTTGATGCCATCCTGCAGGCTGCTGTTTGTAAGGTGATTGCCTCAGTTTTTCTTCTAATATTCACTATGTAGTAGTCTTACTCAGCTCCCTTTGGAGATTCTTTGAATGCTCCCTTTAGGCTGCATTTAGTGACAGTGCATGTTAGATTCAGAGGGAGGAGAAAGCCGCTATGGAACTACTGAGATGCCCCTGTGACACATGTCTGGCTTGTTAATTAGAAGGACCTTGAGGGACACTCAGGAAGTGCTGTCTGGTGCAGCTGGTTAAACATGAGGACGAGTTGCTCTCAGGTCCAGTTGTATCCCAGTTTTCCTCTCCCAAAGTAATTGTTTTGTCCAGGAAGAGAATGATTCCCTCCAAGTATGTCCTTCCTGGTAATTTACTCGAGCTGTGCTATTTAAAACACTCCCTTGTTGAGAAGCTGGGCTGAGTCTGAAGGCCTGACTGATTGCAGGCAATTAATTGATTTTCATATTTTATATTGTAAAACTCCTTTTGAGCAGGATTTTATCTTCAGTTTTCTGTAGGCTATGATTGTTGCAACATCTTTAATACACCTGTCTTGTCCATGGGTTTTTCTCCTTACAAAGCAGTTTTTTCCTTTTTTACCTCAACAAGAGGAACTAGTTATGCCACTCCTAGATACAAAGCTCAACCTTCTCACACAACATATTTTTTGATCAGTTAACAGTGGCTATAGTTCCTCTTCAAAGAGGCCTCTGACAGGAGTGTCCACAGCTCTGCTGTGGACTGCACAGGCTGAACATCAGATTACAAAAGCCCTCTGTCCTCGATGGTTGAAATGTTTCTTTACTGTTGTGCATTAGTCAGCACTCTGCCACATGCTCACTCACTGCCTGTTGATTAGAGTCAGCTGTGGGCGTGCTGCTCACACATTCACCGTTTTGTGAGAGTGTTTGGATCAGTAGTTCTTGAGCTCGTGGCAAGTGATGGAATATCCATAATGAGTTTTCAGTTAAATGGAATATAACCTGGTGTATAATTCCATTTACTAATGTTTTGATATGTTGCTTCTGCCATCTGTTGTTGAAATGCACACACACTAGGTGTAATGACTTTTCTAGACTAGTTTTTTGGTGTAAGTGGTAAAACACACGAAGAGTTTTTGGGAGCTTCTTCTATGCACGTCTCACACTGCAGATAGAATTCCATTAAATCAAATGTGTCAGGCCACACTGAATCCCTGAGACGTGGGTCTCACATTGAACCCTTGCATTTTTTTACGCTTCATGTCTATTTTTCCCCTCTGCCGCGTTTGATGAAGCATAATCTCCATAGTCAGCTGTTTAACTCACACAAATCCTGTTGTGTTCTGTTTCATCCTCTGTAATGAGCTGGGGAAATCAATAAAATCTAAATCCACATGCTACATAAAAACACGATTTCTTCCTGATGATCTTACATGTTATGTTGTTGGTCAGCCTGGAATAGACAGCTTTTCTGACAACACAGAATGTGCTCACATCTCGCTTCCGGTGTGTTTTACCAGTACTCCTAATAAGAAAGCCAAAGTAATAGTAAAGCTAGTAGAGTTGTACATTTCCACACAAACAAGACAAACAAGAGGCATTTCTTCTGGGTTCTAATCTGCCGCAGGAGGAAATAGGCTGGAGGAAGGAGGCCTACCATCTGCTGGTGTTTGCCACAGATGATGTACCTCATCTCGCTCTGGACGGCAGGCTGGGAGGCCTCGTCCAGCCCCACGATGGACAGTGTCACCTGAATGACAAGAACGAGTACAGCGCGTCCACAACGATGGTAAGAAGTACTGGCCCTTATTTGCCTCACTAGGAAAGCAGTGTTTATGGTGTGGTAGACATAAATGATACATAAACAGTCTCAACAACACTAGCAGCAGTGGATTCCAGTGCCTTCCACCCTCCCACCCACAGGGAAACAAAATGAGAGTAATGAAACAAAGAATGTTATAAGAAAATAAATGGCAAAATAAATTAACACCAGTCAGCAGCCACTGGATTTTTAACTAGATTCAGTAAAACTGCACAAAGAAAGTCTGTCACACATAAGTTCATACAGTGCCTGACAATGCCAGAGGACTACTGTCATAAAAATAGATCAGCGTCAGGTGGATGCCACTATGCTCTCAAACTGAATTTGAGAAGACCAGTTTGTAGCTGTGTTGATCATGCAGAGTAGAAGTTCAGTGATAAATGTGAATACTTGACTTCGAACTCAGTCATATCATGTCTTACACAAGTTGCAGCAGTTTGACTGTTTGTGTGACTCATTGTTTCATATTTCAGCTTTTGAGTTCAGAGTTTGTTTTTTTTAATGGTCTGTCTCAAATAGGAATCTCAGTAGGGCCTGTATTGTATCCCATAAAAATAACCACATCTCAAAATGTGATCTGAAACTCCCTCAGACTCTGTGATACTGACATTTGATTACAAATGAGCTTTTCTCTGAAATAAGAGAACATGTCAGTGATTATTCTGGTGTCAAAAGCACAGCACAACACTAGGGTCAAAAGAGCATCCACATCCGTTAGCTAGTTTCCTGACTGGGGACTCTATGGGAAAATCTGTTCCCTTATTTGAATGTTCATTGCTCTTTAATCCTCACTCATTTTGGAAGTCGTTCTGGTCCACCATCTGGAAGCACGTCCCAAAGCTCTGATTCCTGCTCTGAGGAGCGAGGAGGCTGCTGGAGGAGATGTGAGCAAAGATAAAAGAGAGCATCCTTTGCTGAAATCTTTTATGGACAGACACTCCCCTATATCTGAAGCCAGTTGATGATTGGATGCTTCAGATGAAGAATCAAAGGAAAGGTCATCTCATGTCTCTAAAAGCTGTTTTCTTGATTCCTCCCCCCTCATGTTTTTTCCTGTATCTTAATGTGGGCGGGACAAAGGCTCAAAGAAAAGGTGTAAGAGGGAAACATGGATGCATTAAAGGGAATTGGGATTTACCCTCTATGCAGCAGTATAGTACATCTGAACAAAATACCCATAATGCCCATTGTCATCTCTCTCTGTGCAGGATTATCCTTCTCTGGCTCTTCTTGGGGAGAAACTGGCTGAAAATAACATCTTCCTCATCTTTGCAGTGACTAAACGACTGTATGTTATTTATAAGGTATTCTGATTTGATCATTCTCCCTTAAAGCTCACACAGTTTTCCTGTTCCTTTTATATTTAAGTAACTAATGGTGTCTTGTATTTCTTACAAAGAATTTTACTGCACTCATACCTGGAACTACAGTAGAAATCCTGGACCAGGACTCTAAGAATGTCATTCAGCTGATCATCGCTGCCTACAATGTAAGTAAAGAAAATCTGTGACTTGAGTTTCCTTAAGATCCTCGCCGTTGGATATCCCGAGCTCAGGCAGCCCCGCAAACATTTTCGTTTCAGTTTAATCATTAATCTACTTAAACTAAGTATGAATAAAGTATTCTAACATGTGATTTTGCAAAGCAAATGTTTTCGTTTGCTACAGCACACACAAACACATCATCCTTTTCGCTGTCAAAGCAAAAATTCCTGTGTTGTAGCTCTGTAAACAGTCCGTTGGTGTCTTTGCAGAAAGTTCCAACACAGAGATTTGAGACGAGAGGAGAAAAAACTGAGGCAGGTCTCTAGTCTTCCTGCTACTGCGACAGCTAATGGGCCTCTAGCTGCACATAAGTTGATTTCTCAGTTTGTGTACTGAAGTGGCTTTCACAGCAGACTTTTTTCATAGCAGTGTTTCTTATAACAATAGAAATGATTAATGGGGTCATCTGTTAGTTGATCGACAGAAAGGCAGGCGATAGTTTTGACAATGGAGTAGTCAATTATCAAGCAGAACTGAAAGGCGTTCTTCTGTTTCAGCTTCTCAGATGTGAAGAGTTGTTTGGGTTTTGGACTGTTGGTCAGAGAAAATGAAGTGCTTTGAAGATGTGACTTTGAGCTCTGACAAATTGTTGTGGGCTTTTTCCCTAAGGTTTTATAGAATAAACCAGTGGTTACCACAACCACAAGTTTTTCTCTGAGCCTTTGAACCTATAAGTAAAATTTCTGTTTTCTCCTGCTTGAGCTGTAGAAAGGTTTTGTGAATCCAGGCACTGATATCTAGAACACATCTATAAGGGTCACTGATTGGTCCTGCGTCATCACAGCCACATAAAGATGAGCGTCATCAGCACAGCTATGGAAACGGACACCGTCTACCCTGATGACACCACCGAGGGGTAGCACTCTCTTTTACATGGTCATTTTGGCCAGGTCTCTCTTGCAAAAGAGAGATTGTATCTCGAGACTTCCTGGTTAAATAAAGGCTAAATAAATAAATAAAAACATATAGAGATTAGTGTCATTAAAGTTGATCCTGTGTAAGCTTCAAATAAACATTGGAATACATTTTTGTCCCTCATCACTCACTTTCAGAGATCATCAAGAAGAGACCTTTTAACGGGTGTTAGAAATGGGCCCATTATCTAATGTGTAGTGTGATGTTTCATGTCATTATTTTCCAGTGTGTGTCACCTCTGTCTGTGGGGCTCCTGTGTTGAAGCCTGATATTCATCTGATTGCGTGTCTTAAAAAGTATTTGTATTTCTGTGCTTTTTGAATACAGATCTGTGCTGCAAGTAGTCGGTCTTTCCCTTTTCATGCGTGGTTGCAGAATTGTTTCCTTGCCTGCATCTTGTTTTGGCCCATGGCAGCGTATTCTCTGCAACAGAGGCTTGGGTTAAACACGGTCGGTGTGTGGGAGTGCGCTTGAATGAAGCACTTTGAGTCATGGCCTTAACATTCCAGCTGCCATGTTGTGTCCACCACTCTGGGGTTGCTTGGAACGTGGGCCTTGCTAAACACTGCAAGCTTCTTTTTGCTCAGGTTTGACTGTGGCATGAAGTTGCCGCTTGCTGTGTCGCTTGTGTTAAGAGTCAGAAAGGTGTGTGTGTGACAGAGAGAGTGAACGAGGGAGAGAATTACTCGTGCACCACGTACGATCCTCATTTATCCTTGGCACAGTTGTAGCACAGTAAATGTGTACGCACCACAGACAGGGTCTGCAGCATTTCGCATCCACACACATACGGTCTGCAGCCATGTGCAGCACTTGTGGTTGTGGTAAAATGAACTATAAAAATGTGCCTAACCAAGAAAAACTTTCCACATGTTGAACTCTTTTCTACTCTCTTACTCAACCAGATATACAGGCATGAAAAGATGGACTAGGATTGTTTAAATATAAATGCTGGTGTGGGAGGACTTCTGTTAATGTGTCTCCAGTTTCAGGGCATGAAATAGTTGTGTGCTCTATGGCAACTGGTAGAACTCCTCTGTGAACTGTTGAAGAGAAACCTCCCATAAAGCCTTATTCTACCATGCAAGAAAAGCAATCTGCTTCAAACCCATGTTGTACTAACATGTCTGAGCAAACTCTGTGTCCTGTGTTTTCCTCAGAACATTCGTTCTAAGGTGGAGCTCACAGTGTGGGACCACCCAGAGGACATCAGTCTCTCCTTCACTGCCACCTGCCAGGATGGGAAGCCACTGCCAGGCCTCATGAAGTGTGCCGACTTAAAGATAGGCGACACCGTGAGTCCCTGTCCTCATCTATTCTCGCATCCTGTTGGCCCTGAATCTTTTGAGTACTCTAGCAGCCTGGTTGTTTTCTTTGGGATTATGAAAACTATCAGTGATTTTTCAGATCTTCTGTAAACTTATTTTTGAAGCCAACCTAAACACTAATGTGATGAAATATGTATTTGTGAATTGAAAATCATCAAGGCAGGCTGAAAAAGTCCTTGGTTAGTTCTGATCTAGAACTGATCACTAGAGCAAAACATTCAGGGCAAGATTTGTCACACAACTACACGACATATGAAATCAATGTTTGAGAGTGAGAAGCAACAATTTGAAAGCATGTTAATTCAAAAAGCTGGAAACAGCAACTTGCATTTACACCAGAGAGATATTTCTTCATTTATTTGTCCAAATTCACAAGGTTGTGTATATTTATCTACAGTATATGTTTACAGAAGCAGGCATACAAAAAATGTGTGTGTGAATTCCATAACTTGGTGTAGGAACTGAGAGGTTGCAGTAATGGGGTTCAGGAAGTGTAGCTGTTGAGTTTTGGATGTTTCGAAGACGTGGCACAGAGGCTTTGCTATGGATACTATTCCATTGCTTAGGCACATGACTTGTATTGATGAGGCCTTTCAATGTGGACAGATTGATAATAGAGAGGTATGTATGTCTAATTTGTACTTTAGGAGGCTATACTCCAATCAAATTTATCATCAGATTTATCTCTTAGCACTAAATCTACTCATACTCAGTTTTCCAAAAATACAGGATTTTATATTTTATATAATTAAGCTGAGAATAGCTATAACATCTAGTTCAGTCTGATCAGTCCCCTTTGGAATATTTAACAGGCCACACTGTTGTTCAGAAGTAAACAACACAAAAAAGAGCACTGATGTATTTAGCTACAGTTAATCTGATCAACATTCTGATATTTATTTTAGCTCCTACTGTCCAGCTCTAATCCTCCAAGTGATATTCTTAAACACAGTCAGCACCAAAGAGAAGCTTGGCTGTTGGGAGCGAACACCGTTTGACCTTTAAATCCTCTTAGAAGTGCGTTCCTGAAATCGGCTGAGATGGAGGTTCATACTGCTCTTCACTGTAACCAGAGAGACCGTATTGGCACATGTGAAGAGAAGTAGTCATAGTACTGAAAGTCACCATGATGGGCTGAGTTTCTGTTTGAGGTTTGTAACTGTGTCCTTGTACTCAGTCTTCTTAACAGTTAACCTACCTCACTTGTACATTGTATTTCAGTCCTTCTGTAATAGTTCAAGTTACTGCTTTATAAACTATCTAAAAGAAGTAAATGCCAAGTTATCGTCACACAACCCTTTTGGCAGAGACTGTTCATTCCTGATGGAATAGTTGCTCAGTTGGATTCGATCAGCGGTGGATACAGCTGTGAGATCTTTGTCTCACCCACTATCCCTAGGCTGCGTTCAGTCCAACAACAACACTGTGATAAAATGCACAGGGTTGTCCAGTAAAAATGTTGAACCTGGCTGACCTTAAAGTTAAGATCAAGGATGAACCTCTGATAACTTTCCACACATGTGAAAACCTGTCTCACAGCACTGCTGTGCAGTAATGGGGCACCTGAAAGGCCTTGAAGCTGATAGAGCTGTTACTCAAACTGGACTTTCTGGATCTTCTCCTCGGTACATGTAGCAACATGTTCGTATTAAGTCAGTGTCAAGGACAGTGAGAGACTTGCTCCTTGCATTTTTGTAAACACAGTTTTTTTCCCAATCTGAACATGTCCTTAGAGGTGTCCTTCTGCCCAGTGTGCTCTGTGGGTTCAGTTTCTTAGATTGGGATTGTGTTGTTCTCACTGTCAAGGATGAGCAGAGAGGTCTTGAGGCCAGAGCGGCAGTGAGTGTGTCTTACAGAGACTAGAGAGCTGGCTCACTTGGAACCAGTGTCCAGGACAGTCAGAGACTTGTTGCCAAGCAGACCAAGAAGAAGCAAAATGGAGATGTGTTGTTGCCTGGTCGTCTTCTTCTGCTGATTCTTTGATTTTACTGGTAGGCTACACACCAGCTTGAAGCTGCATGTCTCTACCTACATCATGCTCGCTGAGACGTAATAGTGCAGTGGTTTAAATGTGTTGGTTCTCTTCTGAGTGTTTTGGTGTGTGAAGCCTGAGCAGAACTGAACCGTTTCTCTGTTGGTGGAAACACCCTGGTCTTTCTCAGTTCCTCATTTTGGCCCTATGGCTGACTAGAGGAACAGTCCTGCTGGTTCCAGACCTTTTCCATTTCATTGTTATTGGGGCCACTGTGCTCCTGGAAACACTTACCGCTTTAGACCAGGTTTTATACTATTTACATTTATAATATCTTAAATGTTTAAAGAATTGTGCATTTTTCATGGCTGTTTTTTCTGAACAGCAGCAGAGGTTAGGTGACCCAGGATGATGGTACATTTTAATTACTTTGAATTTTGCACAAAGCTCTGTCTGGTGGGTACTGCATATTCCATGCAGGCATCACTTAAGATTTGTATTGAGCCCTGGATCCAGTGAAAATGCTAGTGAGGGGCAGCTTCATACATGCTGTCACATTGTGAGCTTCAACACACTGGAGTACTTTGCTCTTGTCTGAGCTGCTTTATTTTCCTGGGACACATTTGCAATGGGAATGAATGGTCGAGGCTGAATAACACCAGTGAATGAAAAGGGGGCTCTCCACCAATGTGCATGCTCATAAGATGAAGGGTAGCAGCTCAATTTGCTGGGTGCCAAGATTCCCAGTCTTAACTGAGGTTATGGCCAAGTCCACGGCCCTAGTGTCAGTCACTGTGTCTGTGTGAGTTTGCTGTTGAGCCTGATGCTGCATTTCAATGACCTCACACAAATGTAGGCAGGAGGAGGCTTGTGAACCTGCAGGCCATGAGAGAAGTAAACTGGCAGGAGTGTATATAGTGAAGCTGGCATCCTTTTCACTGTAACACTGACAGAACTATATGACTGCTGAATGGGCTCATACATATGAATGAAGCCAAGCCTGCGTTAACATACCACTGGTTCTTTTTGTCCAAACTACCTCGGAAGCATTAGAATTAGGTAATGTGTTGTTTTGTTTGACCTTCTCAATGGTTTTGTTCCAGTTAATTGAATTTCAGGCAGTCGTAAGAGTTCCAGATGATTTTCCTATGGTAACCCTGATGTTGGTGTTGGTCTGCCATGAAGAAAGCCTTTGTGAAACACAATTCTGGTTGTAAAGCCATAATGTTGTTCTGCAGTTTGCACAGTAGAGGATAACCAAACGCCTGTCTCTCTCTTATCCTTCAATGTACAACTTCCTGTCTCCTCCTTACCCCACCCCCCCAGTGTCCTCTACCACTACTACTGCTTCCTCCAACTTGTTGCCCCCTCTGTTTCCTCACATCCTCATAGTTGTCCTGACGGACCACATGGCTGGGTTAACTGGCCTTGTTACGACTCACATTTACAGTAGATTTAATTGTATCTCTTGTTAATGTTAGGTATTTTTAGCCAGATAGATACTTTATGTATTAGAAATGTTTAGTGGAGATAGGATGTCTAGTTAGACTGTTAAATGCTTAGGCATGCTTATGAGTTTCTACAGGGTACATCTGGTCAAGGATAACTAGAGAGAAGAGTTGATGACTGTCAGCAGACAGGATGTTTAATATTATTATTATGACGTGTAGAACTGTAGCCTTAGCCATAATATGTATTATGATTTTCCCATGGTAACCCTATGGTATGGTAGACCTCTGTCTCTATGTTTGAGTCACGACATGTTCTAGAGGTCTGTGAGAATGTTTTTCGCTACACACCACTTAACCAACAGACACACACATTCACACATTGATTTGCTTCATGTTTTGACTATTGCTATGACCAGCTGCAGAGCTGGTAACAGAGACGTCTCGGTTGACGTTTCTGTGTAGTATGGGGCTAGCCCAACCGAGGGGATATAATGTATAGGCCTGGTGGGTTCAGGGTCTTTCATGTTACATCTGCCTGCGTGCAGGTTGGAGGTGCAAGATACTCAAGTGTGTAATGTTAATTTTACCTGTGATCCTTTGAATAAATCAGCACTGTTTTGAAGTTACTTGGACTGCCTCGTCTCTCAGAGGTAGCAATGGTAATAAGAACCATATCCTGCATTAACTTGTTAAGTGCTTCCAGTGCTCAACTAGAGGAGGAGTCCAGACAACATGTGACCTAGGCTCTTTGTGTGTCAGCCTATGTTGAATGCCACCTGACGGAGCTCAAGTATATTCACCTGGTGGTATTGTTTTTGTATGGCAAACATAGCTGTTAAAAAATTCCCCACTCGCCCCCCCACTTTGGAGCAGTCTTATTCCTTCCTTCAAACTTAGGTCCTCTACCAGAGGCCTGGGAGCATGAGGGTCCTGTGCAGTATCTTGGCTGTTCCTAGGACTGCACTCTTCTGGACAGAGATCTGTTGGAGCCACTCTCCCAGTTTGGGGGTCACAGCCCTCAATGTTCCTATTACCATGGAGACCACTTGTGCCTTCACCTTCCACATCTTTTCTAGCTCTTCTTTCAGCCCTTGGTATTTCTCGAGCTTCTCATGTTCCTTCTTCCTGATGTTGCTATTGCTTGGGATTGCTACATCTATCACTACAGCGTTCTTCTTCTGTTTGTCCACCACTACTATGTCCGGTTGGTTGGTCATTACCAGTTTGTCAGTTTGTATCTGGAAGTCCCACAGGATCTTAGCTTGGTCATTCTCAACCACCTTTGGAGGTGTATCCCATTTTGACTTTGGGACTTCCAGCCTGTACTCAGCACAGATGTTTCTGTACACTATGCCAGCCACTTGGTTATGGCGTTCCATGTATGCCCTGCCTGCTAGCATCTTGCACCCCGCTGTTATGTGCTGGACTGTCTCAGGGGCATCTTTGCACAGCCTGCACCTGGGGTCCTGCCTGGTATGGTAGACCCTGGCCTCTATTGATCTTGTACTTAGAGCCTGTTCTTGTGTTCTTGTGCTGCCAGGATTAGTGCCTCTGTGCTGTCTTTCAGTCCAGCTTTGTCCAGCCACTGGTAGGATTTTTTAATATCAGCCACTTCTATTATTTGACAGTGGTACATACCGTGCAGGGGTTTGTCCTTCCATGAGGGTTCCTGCTCTTCCTTCCCTAGTTCCTCTGGTTTCTGCTGCCTGAGGTATTCACTAAGCACGTCATCAGCTGGGGCCATCTTCCTGATGTATTCATGGATCTTTGTTGTTTCATCCTGGATAGTGGCTCTGACGCTCACTAATCCTCGGCCTCTTTCCTTCCGCTTAATAAAAAAAAAAAATATATATATAGGGTCCTTGTATCGGATATGGTTGTAAACACCCTAAAGTGCAATTCGACATCCGGCTGTTGAACCTCATAATCCGTTTCATTTTTTTCATTTCAGATCTAGTGAGCTAGAGTACAGAACCCAGTAGCTGTAATATGTGTCACTGTCCACCATTCTTTTCTTTGTCGAGCGCCTACACAGTGTGTGGTGTAAGGCTGAACACAAACATTCTCTCAGCATCCAGTTATGCAGAATCGTAGCATCATAATCAGTTGAAAGCAACACAAAAGAAAAAAAAGCCAAACTTTGCATTGACCAGGCAGGATGGCTGCTGTGAATGTGTGAATAAGAGGAAAATCCCAGTAGAATGTGTTGAAACAAAAAACAGAGCTAGGGTTGGGTTTCTCTTCTTGTCAAGACTTCCTTCCCCAGTGCAGTCAAATGGGTGTAGGTCTTGTGTCATGTCCCACTTTTTGAGCTGGAAAGGAGCATCAGCTTTGCTTTGTAAACTGGTGAGCCCACTGGTGTAAACATAACAGCACAGATCACGTGTCGTTCACATCCACAGGCTAGCTGGCAGCTGCCAAGCATTTGTATAGTGGCCGTGTTTGCTGAAATGAAAAGATGAAGGGTGGGATCAGGTCACTTAGAAATATGGAAACAAAAGATAGTTGAAGATACTGCTGCTCCAAGGCCGTCTGGAGCTGCTCTTGTGTCTCTGAGATCATCTGAACCTGACACGAACCCTGAACACATAGGACATCATCAGTGACAGTATTCAGACATCTCCTTTCTATTTAAACCTCACCCTTCATCTGTGTAGGTATCGTTCAACGTGAGTGTGGAGGCGAGGAGTTGTCCTCCTCGTGGCACTGACCAGAGCTTCACCATCAAGCCGGTGGGGTTCAAGGATCGTCTGGAAGTGACTGTGGATTATCAGTGTGACTGTGGCTGCAGCCGGAAAGCACAACTGAACAGCAGAATCTGCAGCTCCATAGGTAAGTCTGCTTGCGAAACATTTTCCTAGTTTTTGTTTATTTCTGGATGTTGTACGTGCATTTACAGAGACGAAAATGTTAACAAAAATTGGAAACGGCCCAGTCACATCAGACCAACTAGTTTTGCATTGGCTTTTATTTCATATAAAGAGCAGTTTGAATGCATACTAAGGAGGAAAAGTCGAGGTCAAAATCGGCTCAAACTGTTGTGCTCCCTTAGAGCAAATCCTGTGAGTATTCACAAAGGATCTTCTTGCCTTACCATTAGGAGTTCTTCTAAATGGTGCTAGAAGCCGTTTCCTCTTAAGACACTTAGAGGAGCTAAGAGCAACCTTTAGTGAGGAACTCCTGAGATAAGCAAAGGGACAGGGTTGAACCCGTGGCTATGGATGACATCATGAACTTCCTCACTTTGTCCACAGTGCGTCAGTCGGTGTGAAAAATTTCATCACACAGTCGCATGAGGACAAAAATTTAATTTATGACCAAAGAACGAAAGAGACTTGTGAGCTTTATTGTATCTGGCATTAATTAACATGTGACATTTTCCAGCTGACAAAACTAATCAACATACTTTGATGTGATAATTCTACCTACAGCACCAACTGGTTACGTAATCCAGCAGTGGTCATGAAATCAGCTTTATGTATGGATTTGTTGCAGTTAATTATTTAATGTGCACTTAATTTACTGTCAAGCAGCTCAGGTTTGAGGTGTGCAGTTTTGTTTTGATGAATATTCCTGTGGGACAGCTGAGCTCATCCGTGTCCTAGTAGCTCAGAGTTGTGGAAACCATTTCCAGTGTTATTCGAATGTTTCAGGTTGTTGGTGAGCTGACTGAATTCTTATTAAATATCTGCCCTCAGAATATGTTTTTATTATTAGAAAACACTGTTGCACATTAGGGGGCTGTAAGCAGGAGCCCAGTGCACTGCCTCCAGCTTCTCACAGACTTAGGACCTACTTTTAGAGCTTAAAGGCTTTGTGAGTTGTTCTTAGACCAAAACGCTTAAGTTAGGACTGACACACCCCTTAGTTTTTGGAGTTTCACCAAACTTAGCCACTTTTGGCCTTGGGATGAAAAAAATGATTCTTGTGAATCATGTTTGACAGAAACCTGTTCCTGCTCCGCTTCCTGTGGGTTGAAACCTTCATGCAAATTAAACATCTTAATCGGTGATGCCAGACCCGGTATTGTGACTTAAATAACTGGGGAAAACCTGTAGTTTTACCCTCTTAATTGACTGTCGTCTTTGGCATAATTATGGAAACGCCCTCACTTGTGTTTTTTTTGTTGTTAAACTTGGATATTTTTTAAATTGAGACATATGGATATCTGAAACCGAGTAAATGTACATATTGACTTCTATCTGTTATCATCCCATAATTTTTGTCCACTTAAGTGTAGCGAGTCCCTTAAATTACTAACTGGAAAAGTCATGAACAAGTGTAAAAGATGCAGGAATGACTGAATTTGATATGTGTATCTAAATAATCCTGCAGACTGAATTAATACATGAAATGTGTGCATTTATATTCAGAATCATGTCAGTAGAGTAAAGTTAACTCGTGCCCTTCCAGGTACTTATAACTGTGGGACTTGTCTCTGTGAACCGGGCTACCTGGGCGCCCACTGTGAGTGCCAGGAGGGCGAAGTCAGCAGCATGTACCTCAGCGCCTGCCGGGAAGCCGAAGGCAAGCAGGTCTGCAGCGGGCGAGGAGAGTGCAGCTGCAACCAGTGTCTGTGCTACGAGTCGGAGTTCGGCAAGATCTATGGCAGCTTCTGCGAGTGCGATGACTTCTCCTGTCCCCGTCACAAAGGCATTCTCTGCTCAGGTAGGAGGGTCAACCACCGAGGATGAGTTGGTCTGCGTTGTGTGCATGAGAATCCTTGCCACCGATTCTACTGAGTTGCTGTACTTTTAGCGAAGTAGAGGACAGCTGTTGAGAGACTGCACCCCTTTGGCACTGATGTTAATGAGAATACAAGCTGACATGAAATACACTGTGCACCCTTTAGATCTGCTGCTTCTTGTGGGTTATAATTAAAAATGATGCCCATTCGTGATGTTGAGTCGTGTCCATACCTCCTCTTTGTCTGTCTTGGTGGTTTGGTCGTCTCCTGATATCACTACAATCAGCCCAGCTTTGATTTGGTTAGTGAGCTGAAGCAGTCACCTGCAGGGCTGCTGGCCCGGCTCAAAAGACGCTCAGAGGAGCAGCTGCAAAGTAATTGCTCAGATGTTGAGCTGGTGTTTACTTTTGGGTCTGCCTCAAAGGCCATGTTTTGGTATGATACTTGTCTTTGAATGATGGAGGACCTGAGAGAGGGAGCGACTTGTTTGCTGGCATAGGAACAGAAGTACATTTATCCAGGATGGGTAGATGTGTAACAGATTAAAACCAACAACACTGAGATTATGCTGCATAGTGACTGTCAGAGCTTTGAGCTGAAGTACTGGGAGCTTTAATCACGTCCATATTGCCCTTGGAGACACGAATTGGTGAGTCATGCTGATGCCAACTTCAGATCCGGTTCTCTCACTGTGCTCTCCTACTTTACTCTGACGCCCAAATAGTGCTGAGACTTGGTATGAAAAGCAGGTTTGGCTCAGTGGACCTGCTCAGCTGTGCCAAAAACAGCCAAAGCTGTTGTGTTCCCAGAACATCAGCTCTAAGACTCTGCGTTTTAGTGTGAGAGCTCTTGGCTGGAGGCGTGCCCACTGGCTCATCCCACAAAGAGCGCTTTGTGTCAGCGGGGCCAGCTCTGGCACGATCCCCTAACATAATGCCTGCCTCTATTTATCTGTACCCAGTAGAAACACAAGTTATTCCTTTAGTCAGCAACGAGGCTGGACACGCTGAATGCACAGATGCAGAGTGGCTGTTTGTCAGTAAGTGTTAACAGTCCACTACCTCCTTTTCTTTCCCCCTCTCTCAGCACGGTTTCCCAGTGTGCAGCCATAATGAGTTTCTAATGATACCAAATGCTACACCTTCTCCACTCTGTCCTTCCTTCACTCCTCTGAAGCTGTCAGTAATTTATTGTGGAGTGCCCTGTGTAACAGACGCTCTAAGTGACTCTGTGCATGTTTCTAAAAATCCACAGGAAATATGATTAGAGTTTATTTTGAGCCCCTTAGCTAGTAAAATTATTTTGTAAATAGCACCGTGCTCCGCTTGGATTGGCTCCACTGAGAGCTGCTCTTTTGTAGTCTTATGTCTGGGAAAGTCTAGAGTGTTTGGGCAGATAAAGTGCCTCAAGGTGCAGAAGGTTTTATGAAAGAGGAAATTAGCTGGCAGGCCATAGTGAGTGCTTCTGTTTGTCTCTTTAAATCAGTCCTCTTAAACGTTTGTCTGAAAGTGTTTTTTCCAAGACGCCCACCGAGGTGTACAGGCAGCAGGTAGGTCTGACATGCTGCCTGTAGACTGTACCAGGGTCACAGCATCAGCTATGGAACATGTGATATTTCTTGTTGTTCTTCTCTTGTCAACACAAGGCGCGATGCAGTTGCACTGTTATGGAGAACTTGTCTCTGTAGGGTGTTCCATTTACATTTAGTGTTTTTCCATCATCTCACCTTCATCTCTTCTTTTTTAGGTGGATATTTTCTTCTTCCCCTTCATGCATGTCAGCACTTTGTCATTGTTTCTGTTTTTGAGTGAAATGTTGTGTGTGTAGCTTTTTATGGCCGGTGTAGTCATTCTGTCAGTCTGTCTCTGCTGCCTCCTCCTACTCCATAGTCCTCAGGGTGTCTGCAGGGCTTAAAATGCACCAAGTTCACTTAGACCATAAAAGGTATTAAAAGGTCTTCAGTTTCATTTAGAAAGGTCTTGGCTACTTTGCTCTTGCCTGCTACAGACAGTAACACTAGTTGTGATTTTTGGAGACATTTGCCAGGAAGCTCACTGACTCAGCAAGAAGTTTAATCCTCAGATTAATTCATTTATAAATTGTTAAATCCATCTATTTATTTTGTGTTGATGATAATGTTCCAAGTGGTGATGGATTAGAGACGGTGGGCCCCGGGTATGGACACGTTAATGGTCCCTCAGTTATTTGTAGTTAGTTTATATGTCTCGTTGACTGTTTTACAATGTTTTTTGGTAGCGTTGAATCCCACTTTGTGGTCATTTTGGTGCCTTGAGAAACATTAACAGATGCTTCATACAGACGCTCTGGTCCAGGGTTCCCCTGTGGTGTTGAAAAGTCAACTGTTCCAGGGCAGTTTCAATTTAATACTCATTCATTAAGGATGTTGACGGAAGCTCAGTTGTTTTATGATCTCATCCATAGAACTTTTAGGACTTCTCATCTCATGTTAGCTTAAAGGTTTAGCATGAAAGTTCATTCCTGACTTTGGAAATTCCAATTCAGGGTCTCCTTACTAGCTTTTCCAGGGTTTCAGCTGTTTCAAGTATGAGATGTTTGTCTTCAGTAGGGGATCAGTTGATATGGGAGCTTGAGGAAAAAGCTATTAAGTAGACTGTTTTGTCAAAACCTGTTTTCCGTGCTTAAGAATTATTTTCATGCCTAAATAATCTAGTGCCTTAGCAGTATTTGAACGGAGTTAATCATGTAAACACTGTTGGTAGCTCCTTAAAGTTTAGTGTGATGAACTTCTTGTTTAAGTGAAATATGGCACCAGTGATTTTTTTTATATATATATATATATATTTGCACTAAATTTTATTAAGCCAAAAGTGCTTCATCAGTAAGTTTCTAGTCTTGGAAATCTGTAGATTTGCCAGTGCGAATGTGAGGGCACAACAGGCGACAGATGCAGACAGAACACGTCGTTCTCCATGTATAAATTTGCACTAAATTTTATTAAGCCAAAAGTGCTTCATCAGTAAGTTTCTAGTCTTGGAAATCTGTAGATTTGCCAGTGCGAATGTGAGGGCACAACAGGCGACAGATGCAGACAGAACACGTCGTTCTCCAGGGTCCCATTTGCGTTTTCCACTGGTGTAGCAGCAGCGTTACTGGAAAAATCAGCCAAAAATGAAGGCAGCATTTTATTTTTGATATTTGCTTTCTTTTTCCTTTCATCCCACTGAAATGTGAGCTCGCTACAGTTGGCACTTGGCATCGGTTCTTTCGCTCATGTGACTTGTTTTTGTTATGCTGTGTCTCTGGCACTTGAACTAAATTTTCTAGGCTTTTGAATGGATGGGATTACTGCTGGTTTTCATTATTATGGAACAGGAGAAGTCACGGAGCCATTTTTGTGCTTGGGAGTCTTTCTGAAGTTTACATTACAGCTAACAAAGGTTTAGCTCCAGGCCACATGTTGTTGTAAAACTGTTCAATGCTGATCAGCGCTGATATGATATAGACCTGTTACATGAATCTGCAGCATCCTGAGTGCAACAGTCTGAGAGATCTGTCAAACAACGAATTCCAGGCTTGCAACATTTCTTTTCTTAGACTCTTGACACATTATTAATAGAATGGTAATTTCTAAATCACACACTCGGGCATCAGAAGATGTGTGATTCAGCATTGGCTTCGCCTGGGCTCCAGCATCCAGCTGGAGGTTGCTGCTGGTGTGATCAGGCCTCAGACATTAATCAGCCTCTAATCTTAGCAGCCTGTAAAGCCTGATGGGCCAGTGGGAGCATGGGGCAGAGCAGGAGCCCTCAGAGGGAGTGTGGAAGGGATGACTAAGTCTGTGTTGATGCCAACAAACATATGACAAATGAAAACTGTCAAATGCCAAAGGGCAACTCCTGTTTTAATCAAGTTTGTGCTGACATGTCCTTGAGCACTGATAGCAGTACCTCCAGGGTCTTGTTGCTCGGGCTCTTCTCTTCTGTGTGTTTTGACAAAGTCATGACTTTGTAGTCCTCCTGACCACCTGACCTGCTTCACCACCACTGACTCTGCAGTTCATTCCAAATATTATGTAAGCACTCATTAGGGGTGTAAGAAAATATTGATACACTTGATTGTTATGATATCACACTTTGCGATACTGTTTTGATCCCCAAAAACACAGTATCGATTTGTAATTAATAGTTCACATGGCAAGTAGTGTTGTGTTGTTGGATGTTACAGGGACTGTGACAAATACAAAACCCGATCCCTGTTCTGAGTGCATAAAAATGCAAACATTCTTTTGTGGGAGATTTTATGCATATTGTGGTATTTTTCTTGTCTATAGTATTGCAATATATTCCAATTCATTGAATTTTAACCCCTGTATGCATCATATTGCCAATTCTTGTCAATATACGGCCCTAACATTCAACTGTTGACAGAAATATCATGCGTCCGTTTTCCGGACTTGCAAAAATCTCTCTTTACCCCAACAATAAAACTGTAGTGTCCTGTGAGTTACTGCATGTGCACCATGTGTACGCATGCGTGCGTCTCCTTGCAGGGTAAATGGGAACACGTGTTTACTCCTGTTCATGCCTAGCATTACTGGAACTGTGCTCCACTGAAGGAGCAGCTGTGCTCAGGCCCACTGTGCCTCTAATGGTTTTGTCAGAGGTTCCGTCTGTTTATTTGCTTTAGCTTTATAATCTTCCGGTCTGACAGGAAAAACAGTGCAGGCTCAAGTTGTTGTCTGAGCTGAAGCAAAGACTTGTTAAAACACAGCTAACACTTCTGAAAGTCACGATCACTGTTTAAGAGAAGCTGTGCCCAGAACTTTCAGCCCAGAACTGGGAAAATATTTCTCATATTTTGGTCATTACAACCAGAAAAGTATCTGTGTCACAACATAGTCACTGTTGTTTTAAGCAAATTTGCCGTTCCAGGAAAAATCTGTTTTGTTAAGATCCTAACTGGAGTGAACACCAGTTAATGACTGTTTCTGTAAAGCATT